GATAAAGTTCACTTGCACGTTCTAGTGTATGTGGATGATCTTGTGGTGACAGGAAGCTCTCGTGAGGTGATACAAAAATTTAAAACATATTTAAGCAATTGCTTTTATATGAAGGATTTGGGAAAATTGAAATATTTTCTTGGATTGGAAGTTGCAAGAAATGCAGAGGGTATATACTTATCACAGAGAAAGTATGCTCTGGATATTATTGCTGATGTCGGTTTGCTTGGTGGTAGGCCTGTAGAGTTTCCGATGGAGCAAAATCATCAGTTGGGAAAGTCGACGACAAAGATTTTGACTGATCCAGAGAAGTATCAGAAACTGGTTGGAAGGTTGATTTACTTGGCTGCGACTAGACCAGATCTTGCCTACTCAGTTCACATCTTATCTCAATTTATGAATGAGCCAAGAGAAGATCATTGGATGGCTGCATTGAGAGTTGTTCGTTACTTGAAAGGGTGCCCGGGAATGGGAATTTTGTTGAAATCTGATTGTAATTTTCATCTTACAGCTTGGTGTAATTCATATTGGGCTGGATGTCCAATCACGAGAAGATCTTTGAGTGGATGGTTGATACAATTGGGAAATTCTCCTGTGTCATGGAAGTCAAAGAAGCAAGATGTTGTATCATGCTCTTCAACTGAAGCAGAGTATCGAGCTATAGTTTTGGCATTGAAGGAGTTGAAGTGGTTAAAGAGTGTGTTGTTAACGATGGGTATTGCACATTCTGGTCCAATGGATTTATATTGTGACAGCCAGTCTGCGCTTCATATTGCAGCTAATCCTGTGTTTCATGAGAGAACGAAGCATGTGGAGATTGATTGTCATTTCATTCGAGACGATATACAGGCTGGAATTGTTCAGACCCAACATGTTTTTACTACTCAACAGTTGGCGGATATCTTCACTAAAGCACTTGGAGGACGTCCGTTCAAAGGAATTTTGTGCAAGTTGGGCATTCGAGATCTCCATGCTCCAACTTGATGGGGGGTGTTAAGAGATATTAGGCTTATTGGGTCTTGTATAGTTAGTTATTAGAATTATTAGAGTAATTTGTCCCACATTGCTAGTTTCTAACTTAAGGTTGACCAATGTACTTGTATATATATGTGCCTTTAGGCTGATGAATAAATTACTTCCACAAATTACTTTGACATTAAAGCATGCAACATAATGTGGTTATTTTATAGTTGGTTTGTTTTCCATGACCAGGAACTACACAGGAAATTAAGAAATTGTTTGATAAGGATGAAATATTGTTTCATCTCTGGGGTCGGAGTCGGGCCGGCGAAGTGTCTCCTCCACTAACACATACTTATTATCGAAGCCATATATACACACTTAACGTGATGTGTCACGTGTGTATTAGAAGTAGATACATAGCATAAGTCCATAATTTAATAACACATAGTCACATATAGAAATTCGGAGGTCTGAGGCAAATTAAAGTGTGGATGATACAACAAATATATTGTGTCGGAAAATTAAAGGCATGTAGATAAAACGCAGTTTTGTGTTCATGAGAAGATGTTTTAACATCGTAATCCGTAAATGCTGATAATGGTATCACGCACAAATTTTATGTATGATACTTATATTTGGCTAACAGATACGAATCTTATATATAAAAGAGGATCAACTCTCTCCATATGAATGACAACTCATTATTTTTGATTCATATGGAGATGACATGTGTCACATTTTCTTAAAAAAAAATAATTAATAAATTTTTAATATTAAATTTTAACTCTTTCAAAAAAAGAAAATTTATTGACTCTTAAATAACATTTATGTAGATATTAAACAAGAATTTATGTTATACTTAATTAAAAATACTGATGAATTATTTCAAAGAAAATGAAAAGTTTTTTTATTGACTCTTAAATAACATTTATGTATAAATATCAAACAAGAATTTATGTTATAATTAATTTAAAAATACTAATGAATGTTTCTTTTATTTTTAACTTCTTAATGATTTAATAATATTCAGTATGTATTTTTAAATTAATTTTTAAAAATTGTTTATAATAACATATTGATTCTATTTACTTTTACAAAAATATAGAAGTATATAAATTTGAAAAGCAAAATCCGCACTGTGCGGATATTCACCTAATGTGGTATAATTATGTCAAACAGTCAAAGAATAGCTAATTTTAGTTAATTAGACTAAACGAAAAGGTAATTAAATGGGGAAGAAAAAAAAAGCAAACGAGTCACGAGCAATGACAAGTGGATAGGAAGCAGATCGGGAGCATCACGTGACCCACCCGATTTAACGGTCATGATTGGATACAGAAACTAATTTGTGGTCCCTCCAAAAAACGAAAGGTGACCTGTCACATACCTCAAGATGCCGCAATCTCTGCCACGTATTTTGGTGGAGTCATCTAGAGTTTAGCTCAAGTAATTATTTAGTTGGTTAAAATAATTGTCAGTAACATACAATAATAGGTTTTTTGTTCATTGTCCCTCTTAGATGTGGATAGTCCATAGTTGGAAAATGCTGTCATTCGATAAGAATAATGTTACATTGATGAGAATAAAAAAACAGCCATCAAAGAAGCTAGGTTTATTATATACAAGAATAGGCATTATTATGTTGACACAAATAAAAGATATTATAAAAGCAGCTTGATATTCTTGACTTTTTTTTTAATTTCGAATAAAAGCATGTAATTTGTTAAACCAAACCCAAAAAAATAAACCCCAGAATTCTTCATAATATGCATAAAGCGGCGTCGTTTTGTGGTCAAACAGAATTTCCATTTCCTGCTTTATTAAAAGCCTGAGCACGTGTTAACACATAAGGGGCCTGGTTGTAAATTACAATATACTAGTATGGTAATTTCGTCATTTTCACAATCATACCCCACCTTTTTTTTTCCCACCCTGCTTAAGTGCTTCTTCATTTATTACTAACCAGAAGAAAAATAAACTCAAAACCAGACAGAACTCCTCAAAAACAAAACAAAAACAAGAAGAAGAAGAAAAAAAAGCGCCAAAATTAGATTTCACCGGCGAGTTTTTATCTTCTTTATGAGCTAAAAATTAGAAGAAGAAGTAAACCAGAAGAACGACGCCGTTCTCTTAATTTTCGGTGATCAGAGGATGACGTCGGGGACAAGAACACCGACATGGAAAGAGAGAGAGAACAACAAACGGCGAGAGCGGCGAAGACGCGCGATTGCGGCTAAGATCTTCTCGGGACTTAGGATTCATGGAAACTTCAAGCTCCCCAAACACTGCGATAACAACGAAGTTCTTAAAGCTCTCTGCAATGAAGCTGGTTGGACCGTCGAAGACGACGGAACTACTTACCGGAAGGTAAACCAAACAAAAAAAACTCGATCCTAACATCTTTAAACTTTCAAAAATCTTATTTTTGTAAAAAATTGGGTTTTTTTGAAACTGTGAATAGATCTGAGGTTTTGATTTGGGGAGAAAACGTTAATTTTTTTTTATTTACTTATGAAAATCGGACGGTTGTGATTTGATTTTGACCGGTTTAGTCGTCATTGTAAACGTCAGATCGAAACCGTTCTTGTGAAACTGAAACAAAAGCATGAAATGTTGTAAGATTTGCTGATGCTTTCGACGATTTTAATGACTAAATTACCCTTAAGTTTTCACACAGTCGACGGCTCTAGTAAGAATTTATGTGGGCATTATCGTCATTTTAACCACTCAATTCGTTTTTTTCTCGTGAGGTAACATAATATTTTTTTAAGAAAATGTAGCTTTTGCTTTGATAAAAATTTCTTTTTGTGTTTTTCTTTGGTCACCTTTCGCTTTAGTTAAAACTTTAGGACACGTCTGTTTCACGAAACTGCCATTGTTAAATGGGTTGGATTCCTTAGTACAACGATCGAGGAAGACTTTTTTTTTTCTTTATTCACATGGTTTTTTTCCTTTTCAGACAGACGACGCTTTCTCTGAAATTCCAATATTTCTTTTTCCATCATCAAAATTTTATCGACAAAACTTTTTTTTTCTTTTTGCTTACGTTCACATTTACACTAAAGTCCTTCCGTTTTCTTGAAATGACATCAAACTAAGCATTCCAAAAATATCTGTACATACGTAGCTGTGGATATAGTATTACCAGGAAAAGCTTTCGAAAATAAATTAAAATAGACTAGGATTCTTGACTCGTGTGTTACAATTTCCACGAGTATTTTTTTGTTTTTTTTTTCGGTTTTATACGAGTGTTTATTGTTTGTTTGTTAAATACTTGAATTAATGAAATTGTGTACTAGTCTTGTTTAACCAGTCAATGGTGAGACTGGGAAAATGATTTCTCTTTTGCCAACACCTAATGATGATGTTTGGATTTTGCTTGTGTGGGGAAAAAAAATAAAATGGAATTATTCATTGTTTGACCGTAAAATGCCAAAGAAAATCATTGTTCTTTGTCTTTTCTATTTCTTAGTTGCATTTGGATTTTCAATTATCAATCATAGTGTCATCTTGTTCGTGCTCACCAGCTTTTGCATTTCATAAAAACAAACATTAGCAAATACTTTTCTTTTGAGATTCTCTATCCATTTGCAAAGATTGTTCTTTGACCATTATAATTCCAAACAAAATCATTGTTCTTCCTTTACTTTTTTTTCTTGGTGCATTTAGATTCTCAATTGTCAATCATAATGTCCTTTTGCTCGTTGCTCACCTGCTTTTGCATTTGGTGATGTAATTAGTCCACTAGCAAAAGTGGAATGGTTCTCTGCTTGAAGTGGAATGTTTTGGTTATATGTTTGTGATAATTCTTACACTTTTGTCATATGCTCTTGTGTAGGGATGCAAACCAATGGATCGAATGGAACTCATGAATGGTTCTACTTCAGCAAGTCCATGCTCATCATACCAACCAAGCCCTCGTGGCTCATACAATCCAAGCCCTTCATCTTCATCATTCCCGAGTCCTACAAACCCATTTGGTGATGCTAACTCACTAATCCCTTGGCTCAAAAACCTGTCTTCAAACTCACCTTCCAAGCTTCCTTTCTTCCATGGAAGCTCGATAAGCGCTCCTGTGACTCCACCATTGGCTCGAAGCCCTACTCGTGATCAAGTAACCACCATCACAGACTCTGGATGGCTCTCTGGAATGCAAACTCCACAGAGCGGACCGTCTTCTCCTACTTTCAGCCTAGTCTCAAGAAACCCTTTTTTCGACAAAGAGGCTTTCAAAATGGGAGATTGTAACTCACCAATGTGGACTCCTGGACAAAGTGGAAACTGTTCTCCGGCTATTCCTGCTGGTGTTGATCAGAACTCTGATGTGCCAATGGCTGATGGAATGGCTGCTGAGTTTGCTTTTGGCTGTAACGCAATCGCTGCGGTTGGAATGGTTAAGCCTTGGGAAGGAGAAAGGATACATGGAGAATGCGTTTCAGATGATTTAGAACTTACACTTGGAACCTCAAGAACAAGATGATGATTTCAGAGAAGGAATCAGTGTCGTTTGCTATCAGTGAACTCTCTTATCAAATTAATTCATCTCTTACTTTTCTTTCATCTTTTTTTGTTTGTTTTTTTTTTCAGTGTGATGATTAAAGAGGTTATTAAGAGAGGAAAAAGGGGGTAAAAGAAAGGAAAAAAGAACATTTTGAACTGTTTTTTTTTTGGTTGGCTTTTTGACTAAAGTTGTAGTTAGAATCTATTTTAGCTCTCGAAGTTTTATTTGTTTTGTTATTTGTGGAAATTCGATTTGATATTAGTGATGCTATAATGGAATTCATCTATTTCTGTGACTTGTAGTCTTATACATCGAAACCAAATTGGACTTATCATAACCATGTTGAACGTGAACAAAAAATAAAAATCAGTAATCTATGTTGAAATTTTCGTATTTTGAATTTACATTTAAAAGATAACAGAAATACTGGATTACGTTAAAAGACCGTATGATATGTCCAGGAAATCGTACGCAACGCAACCCAATATAAAAGTCAATGAACAATGACGACCACATGTGCTTGATATTTTTAATTAACGTGACATTATTGATTTTGGACTGCAAGTACGTTGACTTTAACATGTAAATTGCACGAGTAGTATAATAAGTTGTACTTTCAATGGGATTATTTATATTTATGTTGGATCCAATTTAGTGCCGATTATTCTTAATGGAGTTAAAACTAGGCACATGTCGAGATGAATTTATATTCATATGAATTAATTACAAAGGTTACAAAACCAAGAGTAAGGTTACATAGACGACTCCAAGTGTAAGTCTTAAAAAAACGAAACTGTAAATCCGATGTATACGTCAAGCCTCAAATTCAGCCTCTGATTTAAAACCAAGTTTCTCTCTCCAAGCACATGCATGTGAAAGCAGTCACCTCCGTCTCATACAACATTTCCGCGTCTAATGGAAGTGTTTCTCTCGTGGTTTCAAACGACAAGCCTAGTTCATGCATTGCTTTACACGAACCAAAAGCTGTAAGAGCCAATCAACAAAAAAAAAAACTATTACTACCTTGTCTTAATCTGATTCTTGAATTGGTTAAATGACCAAAAAAATATTGATATCACACAGGGAGGCTTTGTTTTCCATCGCTTTCTCTACGGATAATCGTTGTTTACTCGCTATGGGTGGCTTAAGGAGGAAGTTCAAAGTTTGGGATACACTTTTGGGCTCTAATGTCTCCAGCAGTTTCGGAAGCAGCCGAGCTCGATCATGAAATTCCAGTCAAGCTGACATTGATCGTTAGATTCGAACACACGCAACTCAAAGTTTGTAGTCTTTTTCTTTCATTAGGTTTGTTTTATTTTTCTTGTAGAATTGGGTATTATGAGGGTTAATGTTTCATTAAACCCATAATAAAGGCCCATTAGTCTATCAAAACTCATAAGTATATCACAATAACTTATTAAAAACAAGGTTTTGATACAATTTGATATATATTTTTTCTGTCAAATTAGAAATTAAGTAAAAGGTTAATGTCCTTAAAAAACTAAACATTTGCCCGATTAACTCTGTTTAAATCTTTCTAGGAGCAAACTGCAAAGCAATTCACATTTGCTAAGCTTATTCATAAACACGGCGCCGTTTAGGATGTCACACCAAACCAAATTAACGGTTTTACTTAATTTTTAACAGTTTCATGGTTTTATATATCCAGTTTTGAAGTTAAAGGGTTGTAATACAATACCTAAAATAGTTTAGGGGCTTTTTAAGCATATCCCCTAAATTTGTTTGTTCTTCTTCTTCGCTTAGCGCCGCTATCTCTCTCTCAGTCTCGACAAAAATCCTCGGAAACTTTAATCGTTAAACCCAAAACCTAATTAAACCCTTTCTGACTTTTGTGTGCTGTTCATCTTCGTTCTGCTCCGCGTTCTTCTCTCTCCCAAGCTCTCTTGAGCTAAACCTCGAAATTTTATACGTAAGTTCTATTTGGTTTTCTTTTCAAAGGTCTTACAGTTTTAGAAACGCACCGAAATTTAATCGCTATGTTTTGAAATCACTGAAACTAGTTATGAAATCGTTCTATCGGGTTTATCAACTGACGTAAAATCCTTAATTTCGAGGTGCCCTGTACCCAAGAACCGGCCTTGATTCTCACTGATTTGATTGGTTTTGCCCTTTCTCTGCAGAATGATAACTTCAGTTTCATGGATTCCGAAAGGGTCTCTAAAAGCCGTTCCTGATGTTGCTGAACCTCCTTCAAAGGAGGAAATCAAAGAGCTCATTGAGAGTGGAGCTTTTGGAACAAGGTGATTTATATTATAATTTGTTTTTGTTATGTTGTTTCACATTTCTCTAATTTTCGAAATGAGAAGATGATGATAGGTTATTAACGTTACATGTAACAGTGTTGACGGTAGTCAAGAGGATGGAGAAGAGATAGAAGAAGATGGAAATCAGATTAGTGAAGTTGATCATGCCAAGGCTGTAGCAGAAGCTTTTGGTAAATCTTCCAATAGCAAGAACGCTTCTTCGATGGAGGTTGATGAGGTAGCTGAGGGCTTGAAAGAACTAGACATGGATAATTACGATGAAGAGGATGATGGTATGTTTGAACACAACACAAGTAATCATTTGCTTTGTGTTCCATATGTAAAGTTAACTCTTTGCTGTGTGTTGGACTCAGGGGTTGAACTCTTCAGCTCTGGCCTTGGGGATTTATATTATCCAAGTAATGACATGGATCCATATCTGAAGGGTGTTACTGTAAGTCATATATCAGTGTTTCCTTTTTATGTTGAAACTTATCGTGGTTCAAATGTTTTGTATGTAAAAGTTTGATCTTTTTAGGATGATGATGACGAAGATGAAGAGGATATTGATGACACGACAATCAAGCCAACGGATTCAGTGATTATCTGCGCTAGAAACGAAGATGAAGTCAGCCATCTGGAGGTATGACCAATCCTTCTCGCTTCTCTAGGTTAATCATTGAACATCGAGGCTCATATGAAAGGTATATATACGACCAGGTTTATGTGTACGAGGAGTTATCGAATGGCTCTCCAAACATGTATGTTCATCATCACATAATTATACCGGAATTCCCGTTGTGTACTGCGTGGATTGATTGTCCTCTTAAAGGAGGGGGAAAAGGTTAGTGCATAGTTTTATCATTCGTCTGAGGCGGGATTCTTTGTTCTTGCTATGGATAAAAATATCATTTTTATTTACTCTCTTTCTTTTGCTTTACGTATTGGCAGGGAATTTTGTAGCTATTGGCTCAAAGGATACGCCGACAATAGAGATATGGGATCTTGACGTTGTATGTAAACCTAACTGTCTTTGTATGTATGTTTGCTCTAATTTACAATGAGAGTATTGATAAGGTTATTATAATGCTCTAGAGGGACGAGGTGCTACCTTGTATACAACTAGGAGGAAAAGAGGAGATGGAGATTATTAAGAAAAAGAAGAATAAGAAAGATAAGAGTAAGAAAGCGAAGAGTAAGAAGCAGGTATGCTCACAACAAACTTTCTTGTTCTTCTAAATTTCATGCCAAGTGTTAATGTGTCCATTTATTTTAATTTTCTGGTCTTTGTCTTTTTATTTTTAGAAATACAAAGAAGGTAGCCACACTGATTCAGTACTTGGTCTTGCTTGGAACAAGGAGTTTCGGTATATTTACAATTTACTAATAGTCCCATGATTGAAAGTTTCTTCTGGATTGCTCTCTAGACGTGTCTGATATATTTTTTTTTATTGGTGAAAAAGGAATATACTTGCTAGTGCTAGTGCCGACAGAAAGGTTAAGGTTTGGGATGTGGCTACCGGAACATGTAAGATTACTATGGAGCATCACACAAAGGAGGTATGAACGAGATTTGTAGAACGAGAAATTCCTTAAATTCTATGGCATTCTCATGGTTTGTTGTTTGAATATGGTTCATAGGTTCAAGCGGTTGCTTGGAACCATTTTGCTCCAGAAGTGCTTCTCAGTGGGTCGTTTGATCAGACTGTTGTATTGGTAACTGCTTTGTTCCATGTTTTATTTTTGCGTGTTCTAATCTTATACTGAACATTACCATTAATATCGGTTTGTATACTATGCTGCAGAAAGACGGAAGACAACCTTCACACTCGGGTTTCAAATGGTCTGTAATGTCTGATGTCGAAAGCTTAGCCTGGGATCCCCACAGTGAACATTCCTTTGTGGTGAATTACATTTTCCTTTGCTCTTATAATAGACAATCTGATGTTACTTAATTTTTAGATAGTTTCTAATTAACCGTCCCTCTTAGGTAAGTCTTGAGGATGGAACCGTGAAAGGGTTTGATATACGTGCCGCACAGTCAGGTTCAGATTCTGATTTAAAACCAAGTTTCACTATCCAAGCACATGACCAAGACAAAGGAGTCTCCTCCATCTCATACAACATATCTGCACCCAATGTACATCTCTCTCTCTCACTCCCAAAGTCTTGATAGCATTTCTTTTTTTTTTTTTTGTAATCAGTTCTCACTATTGATGAGCTTCTTAACAGCTTTTGGCTACGGGGTCTATGGATAAAACGGTAAAACTTTGGGATCTTTCAAACAATGAGCCTTCATGCATTGCTTCACACAAACCAAAAGCTGTAAGAACCAATCAACATAAATCCTTTTTGCTCCCCATTGGTTTCTGCTTCTTCATTCCTAATTATTCCAATTCGTTGCTAATGATAATCACCAGGGAGCTGTTTTCTCCATTTCCTTCTCCGTGGACAACCCTTTCTTGCTCGCTATTGGTGGTTCAAAGGGAGAGCTACATGTGAGTGGAAATAAGAAAATTAATCATGTAGTAGGAACAAATCATTTCTATTCGGAGAGTTAATTTATCTTGTGGCCTATGTTTCTAGGTTTGGGATACTCTGTTGGACGCTAATGTCTCTCGCAAATATGGGAGCAATCAATCTTGAAAAACCCTTCAAGGATCACTTGTTTCTTTGAAGCTATGATGGTCGTTTGATTCCAACACACTTATGCCAAAATTTTGCAGTTTTCTTTTTCTGTTTCTCTTTAGGTTTGTTTGATCTCCTATGATTATGATAAATCGTGTAAGGGTGTGAGCTTATATATTTGTTGAATGCTTAAGATTGACAAAGCCTTTTTCAACTTATCAAGAAGATTTATTTATCACTTGTTTAAATTTGTGTATTTACGTTCACAGTGTTTTGATATGATAGAAAATTAGAAACTAGCACTTCCAATTGTACTGTGTTTGAAATAGAGATGTCAAACGGACCAACCCGCGTCCAAATAGTCCGATCCGATGCGGGTTTAATTTTTTTTCGGATCTAGCAGGTTGGCCCATCATAAGCTGCGGTCCCAAATTGATGTGTTCAAGCCCGACCCGCCTATATTCTGTGGTTTTACGGGCTGGTCCGCGGATTCATACTTTCTTCTTCATCTTAAAGTTTTTATGACATTTAGATTTATAGTACCAAAAAATTTGCTAGAAGAGAATAAAATTTTCCTCGTAACTGAATTACAATATGCATAAGAAACAAAACTAAAGAAAATTCTTATCTAAGTAAATTCGATGAACAAACAAATGAATTCGATAAACCTCTTATACAAAACTCCTAACCCTAGGATACCATAAATTTGAAAAATCAATTTAACGTTAAAAATAGACACTTAGTTTTGAAAAGGAAATAAATGAATTTCAAATAATGATACACATAAAAACTGGTAATTTAAGCTAAATAGCCATCAAGATACAAGCAACAAGACATTCACATATAAAATAAATAATAAAAAAAGATGAACAAAGCTTATTTGTTAGTCCAGCGTACAAACAAATGTGATTTTCAAGCAAAACTATTTATTGTCAATTCAAGATTTAAGCGATTCTAAATTACCTTTGCACCGCTGCAGACAAAATAAAAACCACGTCCGTGATATAGTCGATGAACAAAACCAACAAAAAACAAACAAACTTATGACACTAAACTGAAATTAATTAAAACTCTAAAAAATTACTTGTTTTTAGCTGAAGACAATGACCAGATTTTCTCTCAAATTCAAAAATCCAATCACAGAATCTGAATCGAATCGAATATAAAACATATACTAGTTTGATGATTCCTTGATCTTATTGAAATGAAGCTATCACAAAGCCCAATAGCTGAAGTATGATTCCACTAGGCTTCGATTCACTCTATGAAACTACTACTTCGAAATCCATCAATCAAAAATGACAAAAAACTTCACTTTTCAAAGTTTACAAGAAAACATCAAATTTTGCGGGTTGGCCCGCAAACCCACGGATCCGTTTTAACCCGACCCACAAAAGCCCAACGTCCACGCGGGTTTGGACCGTAAAACCCGCTTTTTATTTGGACAAATTTTATGGTGTCCAAACCCGCACTGCTACGGTTTTACTTGAGCTGAACCCGCGGGTCAGAGCCCAATTTGACACCTCTAGTTTGAAAGAAAAAATCTTGATATATCTCATCGAATTCTTGTGAGGCATTCAGCTTTAATTTTCTTACTCTGGCAAAGTAAAGTGACGTATTAAATATATAGATTTTTCTAGGGCTATTGATTAAAGAAAAGATTTCATATATACGGTAAAAACTTGTAAATATGAATAAATAAGAGATATACAGAAACATTTCGATTTAGATATATAGATTTTTAAGAAACATTTCGATTTCATATATACGGTTTATCTTTAAGAAACATTTCGATTTAGATATATAGATTTTTCTAGGGTTATTAAATAAAGAAAATGTTTTATATACACGGTAAAAACTTGTAAATATGAATAAATAAGAGATTTCAGTTTATTTTTAAATTTGTTGTTCAATGACAATGAGTAGAATTGAGAAGCGATTTGGACCAAGATTTTGTAGGATAAACTAGCTTTTGCATTTCGATATTTAAAAACGAATTACAAGAACAAAAACAAAAACAAAGAAAAGACAAATATTTGAATAAAAACTAAGTTGAAATAGATAAATGTAGAGCTAGATTCTGGTTTCCTTATTCCTTGCTCTTGTCTTCGTTTTTGCTAAACATCACAACTGTTTCATCAAAAGTACAGCAAAGCAATAAATACTCTTCATGCTAAATTCACCCAAGCTGTAGAGCATAGAGCACTATTAATTTTGAAAGTTAAGGAACCCAAAGAATAAATTAGGGAACCGTGATTAGGTTATACAAACGACTTCTACGACCGTAGGTAATTATTTAACAGAGTAAAGGAAACAGCAATGTTTAGTAAATAAAGTCTTTGTCTGCCACAAAACTTATGAAATCTTAACTAATTCTTCTATCTTTATGACTTAATAGTCAATAGCCTGAGATCGTGACAAGATCCCGATTTGGTATTGTTAATAACTTTATATATTTGTATCGTTTAAAGTCGGTTTTTTTATTGGTTAGTCAAATATAGCAATGCAAATAGTAGAAACCATATATATGAATCAATATAATCAATAATTTCAAGTTAAGAAAAAGAAAAAGAAAACATATTTTGTGAACACGAATAACCTTCAAAGTACCATCGATTGTTCGGGATTAATTTTTGTAGTGAACCTCTTGTCCACATGGTATCTTTGAATTGCATTCATCTGACCATTGTTGTCGGAGGGACGCTTTTGAATCCAAATCCGTTTTCTTCACAGTGATCCAAGAGAAAAGCAGTCAAATATCAACATTATTGAATGTTTGAATCGAATTCAATTTGCATTTTGGAGTCTAAAATGATTTTTTAGCAAAAACGATATTTATGGTCAAATCACATAGGCGATCTTATAAACCATAGATCACAAATGCTGACTGAGAACTTGTGAGTGTGATGATAAATATGGTGAATTGCGACATACCAAGAATTGATTGTTCTACACTTCTACTCAATATTTAGTGGAGTTGTATTTAATTTGGTTTACGCTTTGAAATAATACATTTTAGTGATCAGTTGCTACATGTGTCATCAGAACCAGTTTTGAGATTTAAAAAAGCAAGAAAAACGATCAAATGTGCAACAATTGGTCATAGTTTATTAAACCTTATATATAAACCAATCAATCTGTGAAAAATTGACCTTCCAACTTTATAAACTCAAAAACTTCAAACAAATGTTTGATGAGCTTGTATCCAAAACAATAAATCAATAAAATCATATAATCAATAAAATCATATAATTATATAATCAAACAAAATCATTGAAATCTATAACATAATAAGAAAATAGAAAAACAAAAAAACATAACACAATATACATAAGTACAAAAAATTACAACACTGAAAACATGTAGCTAAGGAAAAATTATAGATAGGATCAGATCCATGATATTTATGCATATCTTCCCAAATTTCATGCATAGGTAACACCGTGGTATGTCAATGATGCACATTGTAAGCTTATCACTTATCCAATAATGTTTTATGTTTTAAATATCATATCTTACAAAATTACAACGTTCTTGTTTTTTTAATTAGGAACAACAAAGTTCTCTTAAGTCACGCATTGCATTAGTCTTTTTTAGCTAAAAATGTATACAAAGTAATGTAGTTTTTAAAATATATAAAATTGATTGCATATGTAAAAAAAGTAGTTTTCATATTTCTCTACTGAGATACCAATCAAATAATGAAATAACAGTTGATTTTAAAAATCATATAATAATTAAGCACTGATTTTCAAAATGAGTCCACATTTCTAACAATCACTTGTAAAGTCACGTGGGAATGGGATATCTGTTGAAGGTAAATGACTAAATGTAAATAGTGGGAGGTTAGAGAATCTGCATGCGCATTGGAAATAATTGTAACCACCCAAGTCACTTCTCTAAAGTACAAATTTTAGTTATGGTGCATCATTACATTCATAATTATAACAAAAAGTCTTTAATTATTGTTAAGTTTTTCATACTATTATTTAATTGAAACTTTCAAACTCGATGGACGTAATAGTCAAAGTCTCTATTTAAAAGAAACTCGTGCGTCCTGCCAATTGACAATATTACTAATATTGTACTCGACCAATAGCATTCGACCGTGATTTTCAATAGCATTAGTATTGAAATTAATGTGAGACAGTTATTATGAATTCAACACGACATTGTGCATTCAATAGATCATTCACCTTTTTCCTAATTTTCTTTCTTATAATTCCGTTGATCTGACGACATTTCCTCGCTCCGGCTTTATGAATTTCTTTCTAGATGTTGTGTGCCAATCAATCTATATCCTTTTCTTTTTAATATCAACGTAGTTATGTTTATGAAAAATTTTACTTGTAAATGGACCATAAGTAAGGTTCAAAAAAAAAGGATCATAAGCTAAAATAAAACCTTTTGTCCAAAAAATGGTCGCACAGGTGAATTGATTCATAATGCAATATCCCAATGTATTCTTAGAACTTGATATTTAACAATTTAACATTGATCACATATTCACATGATTGTAGCTATGTTAATATAGTTTTATAATTTCAGCTAGGTATTTCCAACTGTATAAAACTGAAGAGATATTTAGCATATCTTGAATGATTTTTTATATTAAAAAAGGTTATTGAAATATATAAATCGATCTAATACTAATAAAAATGATTTCCCGTGATCCGTGGACCGTGGTGGCTCATGACCTTATTATATAACAAAACTGTAATTGAGTTAAGACACCTTCCCTTCTCATGGGAACACGATAAGTCAAAATATCTCATTTGATTTTTTCATACAAATTCAATGTATGTCCGAAATGTTTAATCTGATGACAAATTAAAAAAAAAACTTTCGAGTAAATTAGCAACAATAGAAAACAAATGATTATAAACACCCTCCAATATATATTAGATTATACAGCCATAATATGTTTCCGCCCGAATGCCACTCTACATTCAATAATATCCTCGCTTTTTCCATTGTATAAATCCGATTTGTCTTGTCACCACCAGCATATGTTTTCAACTTTTTGGCACAATCACAAATGGAGCTAACATAAAATAAAATATTGATGTATATGTGACCAGATTTACCATCATATATACGAATATACTGAAGCACGGATATAATGAAAAAGTATGTATTCTAATGGATTGGTGCAAATGAAAATCTTTCTAAGATTTAGTGCTAAATTCAATTTACTAAATTTAGTGAAAATTCAAATTGTGAACTGTAAAGAAACTTCTTTTGGCAGATATACATATTGATGAAATTTCAAATTCATCATAAGGATGAAAAGTTATTTACAAACAATGAAAGAATATGATTGATAGCAAAAGTCTGGGAGATTAAAAACATAGCACAAATGTCTTTTACAGGAAATAGAGCCTAATGGTCACTGACCAGAACTCTCGATCAGCTTAACGGTTTGATGTCAGTTTTGGTCGCACTTTAAACTACCTCCGAAAGAAACTCTCGAACTTACGTGTACCTTGGTGATGAAAATAAACAATTTGGCTGCCGATTGTCTTCTTAATAAGTTAAGTGGAGATTCGGAGCCATTTTGGCATTATGTATTTCATTCTCATAATTAGAAATTAGTTACTGTACATGTTAGGATGGACAAGACCGTAATAAAGAGGAGCAAAATCTTTGGAAACCTCGATATGATGAGTTCCGAACGGTAGTTATGCAGGCATCTAGACATTTTAACTTGAAAATGGGAATGATTCTTGTACTGTATACAAATATAAACTAAATAAAGTGCGTCCATATTTCCGGTTGGTAGTTGAAGACTTAAAGAGGCCTTCATTAATTCTATCAAGTGACATTTTTCAAAAAAAAAAAATTGGAAAGAAAACACTTTTCAATTACGCTTAAATGGTATTTTAATTTATTATAAAGTTCGCATGACCTTAGTTTTTTTGTTTTTGGATCCAATATTTGAGTGATTCAATTGATAGGAGTTAGAATGATATTCGAGATCGGATTTGTTGTGTATTAGAAAAATGGAGTATCCAAAGTTATAGAGTTTATAACCAGATATCAGAACATTCGGATCTTAATTCACTTTTATGCATAAGTATAAAAAATACGTATAATATTCGCCAAAAAATGTAATAATTTATATTATTATGTAACAAAAACGTGATATATGTTGAGAATGTCTTTGATACATATGCTCTAAAATATTTAGGAATTTTTTTACCAAAATATTTAGGATTTTTTTTGAAAACTTTTTTTGGTTAAAGAAAACTATTTTGAAAACCGTTATATAACATTTCATCACTTTTAGATGGATTAAGATAGATTCAGAATTTCAGATATTTAAAAGTTGAACACCCGACATTACTATATGCGAGGCATTAAATGTCACAGAAAATAAAAGACTATAAAGTCTAATACAGTATTTGGTTTCAAATCTCCATCTACCTATGTCACATAAAATAAGAACTATAGTCTAATATTTGGCTTCAGATCTCCATCTACCTATGTTATGCGGTTTTAAAAACAATATTTTGAGACTAGCAACTGAAGAATCAATATTTTTAGAAACCAAAATTTTAATGACAAAAGTTTTTTTTTTCTTTTGTCTGAATTTTTTTTCAGTTATAAAATACAAAGGCAAAATCATAGGTGGGATACAGTTTTAATTCACAATTCCGACAAAACAATAATATATCCCCGAAAATAAAGTTCGTGAAAAACAAATTTTCTGCGAAGACAAAGACCTAGAAAAGAAAAATAAATATACGAAAAGTTTGCTAGAACCGCTAATGAAACAAAGATACTAAACCAAACAGCTGAACCAAAATTCACCTAAGAAACTTGATTGAAATCACCAGAGCTGAACCAGAAATATATGAAAGTCTAGAAAAATCAACACCGAAGATTATCCTAAACTGGATCTCCAAAGCACAGTATCACCGACAGAATGACAAAAAAATTCCAAAGACTAAAATATAAGTAAATTTCTATTATCTACGTATTAACTCATAACTTGTAAGAATGTTGATACTTTAAGAAAACAGTTAGTTCCTATCCAATAATTCAAAACTCGTATTCCGGGGCAAAAGTGATAATGTGATATCTCTCGAAAGTATGGATAAATGACACATTAATGATACGACGATCACATTAACCACATGACGTGGGAAAAGGAAATGAATTTCTTTTTTCAGCTTAAGGATAAGATGGATTTATCCACATGAAGTAGTTCGACCCCAAAAAAAAAAAAAAAACCACATGATGTAGAGAAATGTATCCTATGATTTTATAAATATTTTTTAAAGTTACTTTAAAAAAATTGCAATTATTTCAAAAATTATATTTATTAAAATTTATACTTACACAAAATTTACATAAATACTAACATATTCCTGAACTCATAGAATACCCAATTAATTAATATACGAGACAGTATTATATTAAACATATATTTTGAACTAGTAAATAAAATATTTGTTTTGGTAAAAAATCTCTATATATTTTCCAAAAGCTTGTTTGGCGGACATTGTATTGTGTATGTAATTAAAACACAGATATATGCTTCCTTTGTCCAAAAAAAAGAGAGATATGTTAAGTTCTTTTCTCTTAATAAGGCAAAATAATAGTCAAAATTATATCATGTGAAATAGTTTCTAAACTATATCACCGTGTTTTAAATAATAAGATAGTCAAAATTAAAATCGTCAAAGAAGTCCAATCTCTCTCTCACTTTCTCTCTCTCTCGATTTGCCAATAAATTGGAGATGATCGCCACCAAACTCTTTCACAAGTCATAACAGTCCTTCAAAGATTGATCTTTTTTGTTTTCGAAAAAGAGAAAATTCAGTTATGGCGGAGATCTCGGGAAATGGCCATGGCGACGCCAGAGAAGGATCAGTAGTGGTGAATCTCAAGGAAGAAGACAAACATCAACAACAAGTAGAAGCTATTCATAACCCAAAACCCTTGAAGAAACAAGACTCTCTCCTCTCAATCTCTGTCCCTTTCTTACAAAAGGTTTTCACTTCTGTAACTCTCCATCTCCCAAAAAAGAAACACCTTTCATCTCGGGAAAAACATTTAAAACCGATCTAGAAAATTCGTCTCAACAGAATCCATAAATCTCTTTGCTTTTTTTTTTCCGAATTGAAAAAAAAACAAAACTCCGTTTTGCATTGCTCTGTTTCATGTTGACCATGGAGATCCTCATCTCACCCAATTAATTCCTTTATTTCAATACCCAATCACATGAAATCTCTTTGGTATTTTCACTCTGTTCAATGAAAATTACTCTGTTTTAATTTTTTACTAAATTTGCTCTGTTTTCAGTTGATGGCGGAGATTCTGGGAACGTACTTTTTGATATTCGCCGGTTGTGCATCGGTGGCCGTGAACACACAACACGACAAAGTCGTGACACTTCCGGGGATCGCCGCCGTTTGGGGACTCACCGTCATGGTTCTTGTTTACTCTCTCGGTCACATCTCCGGCGCACATTTTAATCCGGCCGTCACAATCGCCTTTGCCTCTTGCCGCCGTTTCCCTCTCAAACAGGTCGATACATACACATATATGAGTTATAATGATCGATCAATTCTTGTTTTTTTTTTTGTGTGAGTTTGATGAACAAACTAATGAACATTGATGTCTTGTGTTTTGATAGGTCCAGTTTAGCTGTCGTTAGTTTGTATTGCACGAAACTTTAGGTTATCAAAAGATTACTTTATTCAAAGTTTTTCTAACCAAGAAAAGTTTAAATTTTTAGTTAGAGAATCATAACATTGTTTTCAAAAGGAAAAATTAACAATGTGTTTATATATTGAGTTTTATATCTTTCGAAATTCAACTCTTTTAAAAAAAAAAGTGTGTCCGACAAATTCTTTTAATTTTTTTCCCCTAATTTTTATACATACATAAACTCAATTAAAACTGTATATAGAAACGTCACAATCTTCACCTCATCAAGGGAATCTTCCAAATTTGGCACACGTTTATTGCGACATTAAATTTACTCAAATCTTTATTTACATATTTTCATTAATATATTTTAGGTTCCGGCGTACGTCATATCACAATTGATAGGATCGACGCTTGCGGCAGCGACTTTGCGGCTGTTGTTTGGACTTGATAATGACGTTTGCAGTGGAAAACACGATGTGTTCGTCGGAACATTACCGTCGGGATCGGATTTGCAATCGTTTGTGATCGAGTTTATCATCACTTTCTACCTAATGTTCATCATTTCCGGCGTCGCCACCGATAATAGAGCGGTTAGTATCTCAAAATCTTCTTATATATATGTTGCACGGAAACTATATATATAGTCAAATTTGATGGCTATTTTAAGCATGCTCGTTTTGAGTTGACTTTAGCTAATATGATTTCCCTCTCATATACATAGTTTCGAACAATCTAGTCACTGAAATAATGTACTTTTTAAGGTTGCTTTTATAGATGGATTACATACACTACTTTATATTTTCCTCTTTGGTTCTGTTTGAATTTCTAGAAGGAAAACATTTTTTTTAATTAAAAGCTTATATTATGCGTGAGCAAAGTCAAATTCTCTTTTTATTTCGTTTTTATATTTATCAATGTTTTTACAACTCTCTCAGTAATTACATATGCTTTCTTTGGTCTTTGAGAAACTTAACATTGGGATCAAATGTTGTAATAACCAGATCGGAGAACTTGCCGGAATAGCAGTAGGATCAACGGTGTTACTTAACGTGATAATTGCCGGGTAATTTTATCACTTATAACAACATTTTTATTTATGAATTATATCATTTTCTTTCTCGACTAAAACTTAAAAAGTAATATATATATATGTTTTTTTTTATCAGACCGGTATCAGGAGCGTCGATGAATCCAGGAAGAAGTTTAGGACCTGCAATGGTTTATAATTGCTACAAAGGAATTTGGATTTACATAGTATCTCCAATTCTTGGTGCGATTGCGGGTGCATGGGTTTATAACACGGTTAGATATACCGATAAACCGTTGCGAGAGATAACCAAAAGCGGTTCGTTTTTGAAAACCGTGCGAAACAATAGCTCTCGTTAAGAAAACAAATTCATGGCTATGTTAAATTAGTCATCGGAGGTTTATAAGTTGTATCAATTAGAAGTAATGGGAGTATTTTGGTATTAAGGTCCTTTCTTCAAAATGGGAACATGTATGGTATAATGTAACGAAATGTATAATTTAATATATAACAACTTTGACCAGACCTTACGTATATCGGTATATGGCTGTAGTAGTTGTTACTAGATTGAACTCTTTTCACCTTTTAATGCGAGAGATTCTATCCTCATATTAACTGTTTCGATACTTTAAAATAGAGAATGAATTCAATTTTGGAAACCGACAAAAAACAAATCGAGAGTTTATTATATATGTGGAACTCGTCAAAAAGAAGCACTAAATACGGAATCGCAAACATTGCCAAGTGTGCATTACTTTGTCCAGAGCTTAAAACTCGGCCACGTGTAACTTTGTCCGGAAAACGACAAACTTAACATCAGTATTATCTGCCACGTCAGAAATCTCCGATGACGTGTGACATCCAAATCATAGACGTCAAATTTTCCTCATGCAACATCACCCCTCTCTTATTACACCATTATAAACACACACACACACACACAAAAACCAAACTAAAGCATAAGAAAGAAGAAAAAAGGCTTTTTTTTTTAAAGTAGATCGTTTAACGATGGCGTCAAGTGATAAGGTTCCGGTGGCGTGTCCGGCAAGTAACGGAGAAGGTAAGGAGCCAATGGGAGATCCAACGAAGACTACTACGGCGATGCTAGAGAAAGGAACGGCTATGATGCAGTCTATGAAACCGATCAAGCAAATGAGCCTCCACGTGTGTTCATTCGCTTGCTATAGCCACGATCCTGGCCGTCAGATCGAGGTTCATATCTACGGCCACCGTGTAAACCAAGACTTCCTCCAATGTGCCGTCTACGATTCCAATTCCTCTAAGGCTCATCTCATCGGTATATATACTTTGAAACTAGATTGTTTGTCTAGAGTTATTGATTATTTGTTTACGTTTGCTTTCTTTTGTATTTTCTTTTTTGATATATGAATTTACAACCTTTAAAAAATTTAAGAAAAAAACTATTCAACCATTTTAAGCAAAATGTATTTGTTAGTTGAACATTACTCTTTGCCATTTGGCGTTTAATGTTGCACTTATTATATTTCTATGAGAATTTTGAAAAAGTTTGATATTTCAAAAATATTAGTTTTTGTAACACAAATTGAATTCGCATTCAAAACAATGGAAATCACCTTATTACAATTTTGTTGGATTCTCTTTTGCAAGATTCGGTTCATATAGAAATATTTGACGATTTTTTAAAAAAGAAATTGAATCTTTTAAATTGATGTTTTTTTTTTTATTGAATGCACCATTTTATAGACGTTAATTAATAGATGCCTGTGACATATTTACGTGCGTATATATAGACATTGATTATGCGTACAAATGTGTTGTAGCGTTGATTATGGAACTTTTTGTTAGAGCTCAATGCTCATGATGACTTATATGAAAGTGTATGTTATTGTATTACTCTAGGGATTGAGTATATAGTGTCGGAGAAGTTATTCGAAAGTCTCTCACCGGAGGAACAAAAGCTTTGGCACTCGCATGACTATGAGGTTCGTGATTTTCCGATACATTTTCAAAATATTTATTACTTGCCGAAGAGAATCGAAAATAATCGGAATTTCATATGTTGTTTGTAGATACAAATGGCTCTTCTAGTCACTCCAAGGGTCCCGGAGCTCGTTGCGAAGCCGGAGCTTCAAAATCTTGCCAAATCCTATGGAAAATTTTGGTGTACATGGCAGATAGATCGCGGTAATTAATTAGTCTAGCTAGTTAAATACTGGTACGTAAAAACCAAATATATTTTGATATAGGATATGAGTTTCAATTAGGGTTTTTTTGTTGTTTTCAGGGGATAGATTACCACTAGGTGTACCGTCATTAATGGTGTCGCCACAAGACGTGAATCTCGGGAGGATAAAACCGGAGCTGGTGAAAAAGAGAGATGAAGAACATGGAATCTCGACGGAATCGTTGAAGCCGTCACGAGAAGGGATTTGTGGACCGGAGAAAAAGAATCTGATTGCTGATTATTGGGTCCGGTTTAGGAAAGGCTTTGCGCTTGATGTCGTTGAGACAGATATGAAGAGAACAGCTCCCTTCCCGTGACTTTTTTTTGGTTGTTGTTGTTATTTTACATCATAAATTCTTAAGCTTATAGACTATAGTATAGACGTATATAGGTTAATATCATAATGTCGTAAGAAGAAGATCCAGAGGCATACGTTTTTTTATTGTTCTTATAGGTCTGTAACGAACTATGCAACATCACAAATACGAATTTATAAGTATCACAATAGTAGGTCTATAATGTTATACTGATTATGAAAATTTGAATTACATATTGATCGAGGGGAGAAATGTATCTTAATCCATTTTGATGCAAAAATGTATTGTAAGAGAAACATAAGTTCCTAATTATACAACTATTAATTAGCCGGAAAATTAATGATTATACGTAAATAAACTATGGTTTAAAATTCGACAATTAATTCACTCAATTTTTTCATCTCGTAAATTTGGGATTATATAGAAGAAATATATCATAATACTAGTTGTCTTTTCATTAAAAAAAAACTGATTAAAATAGGTGAATAGTGATCAACTTTTTTGGTTTATTTTCTGTGTGTGCGTGTTGATTCGATAGAAAAGAACCGTATAGGAATAAATAGGTGGTAACTTATGGGCTTTGTATAAGCCCACTAGTAGTATTCAGATTTCTGAAAGGCCTTAGATTTTTATACCAATCAAATCATACAACTGTTTCTTTTCATCGTTTCTTTTTCCGGGATCAAAATAACGTTTGCGTCTGGATTCTAATCAACCGATTCATGGAGGAGGAGAAGAAGGAAGTATATTCGGTGTGGGCGTTACCGGATGAGGATACGGAGCCGCGATTCAGAAAGCTAATGGAAGCTCTGAGATCCGAATTCATTGGTCCAAGATTCGATCCTCACGTCACCGTCGTCGGAGCAACAAAACTGACGGCAGACGAAGCGAAGAAGATGTTCGAAGCAGCTTGCAACGGTCTCAAGGCTTACTCCGCCACCGTTGATCGCGTCGCCACCGGAACTTTCTTCTATCAGTGCGTTTTCTTGCTTCTCCGTTCGACACCAGATGTAAGAAAATTTTCAGGGCTTTTTTCTTTTCAAGATTCGACATTTCTGAGAAAGCTGTTGAACAAATCCTAATTAAGTTATTGGGTCCTCACTGAAATTCTGGTCAGAGATGATTAATATTACATTTCAAAATCTTGGGTTTAGTTTCTGGATGAAAGTTAATGTTTTTGGAGCAAAGCTTTAACAGTTGTTTTGGAATTCAATGTTTGTTCTGTTTATTACATTACAGGTAATGAAAGTTGGTGAACACTGTAAAAATCATTTCAAGTGCTCCACTACCACACGTAAGCTCTTTTGAAATTTAAAACTGGTTTCTGTAAGTTAAAGTTTTTTTTTTTTTTTGAACTGATCTGTAAGTTAAAGCTTTAAGATCATGTATCCTCAAGTCTAATGTTAATTTTTGGGAGTTCTTAGGTTAGGTCCATGAACAAGGTTTCTTTGTGTAAATCAACCGGTTAGGTACAAAAACCGGTTACCCAAAACCGAAGTCGAATGTATATATGTACGTACACTGTTATAGGATCTAAAGGTTATTGCTTTTGGGAAGCCTCCTTGACAGTAATCTTGAGAATAAGCTCTCAGATTCAGCCTTAATATTCTTCGTGGCTTTTTTTAGTCTCATGTCAAAAAACGTTTCTTTGTGTACGAATTTTTGTAGCTTACATGCCGCATTTGAGCCTGCTTTACGCCGAGTTAACAGAAGAAGAGAAGAAGAAAGCACAGGAGAAAGCTTACTCACTCGATGGCCTAAGTTTCCGGTTAAACCGACTAGCTCTCTGCAAAACCGACACCGAAGACAAGACTCTTGAGTCATGGGAGAAAGTGGTTGTATGCAATCTCGATCCTTAGTGTCTGTAATATAAGGTATCAATAAACTCGCTTTAGAACAATGTATAATACTGTCTCTAAGAATGAATAATCTTACAATAATCTGCGACACTTTACGACCAAACTTTCAAACAGATTCACATTACGATCGCAATTTTAACGAAAAGAAACGACTCACAAGCGTTTTGTGAAAGCAAAGTCTTTTTCTAATGTTTCATATATAATATTGGGGTCAAAAGGCCAAAGCTTCGTTTGGTTAACCCAAAAGCCATTTAGGTTAAGCTCTTGAGGCAGTGATTATATATATATACCAATCATATAACATAACTTTTAAGTTTTTTGGGATCAAAATAGCGTTTTGCGTCTGGATTTTCTAGTCAACTGATTCATGGAAGAGGAGAAGAAGGAAGTATATTCAGTGTGGGCATTGCCTGATGAGGAAACGGAGCCTCGATTCAGAAAGCTAATGGAAGCTCTGAGATCCGAATTCACTGGTCCAAGATTTGATCCTCACGTCACCGTCGCCGTAGCCGCGAATCTGACGTTAGAGGAAGCCAAGAAGATGTTCGAAGCGGCTTGCGACGGTCTGAAAGCTTACACCGCCACCGTGGATCGCGTCGCTACCGGAACTTTCTTCTATCAATGCGTTTTCTTGCTTCTTCGATCCACTCCGGAGGTAAGAAGATCCAAGGCTTTTCCTTTCAAGATTTGACCTTACTTAGAGAAATCAAGAGTGTCGATTTGTCATTTGAGGAGAATATATTGTGTTTCAACATATCCTGATCCAGATATTAGATCCTGACTTTAAGATTAAAGCCAGAGATGATTAAGATTACATAACAAAGATCTTGGGTTTGGTTTTTGGAATCTAAAGTATAACTGTGATTTATTGCACAGGTAATGGAAGCTGGTGAACACTGTAAGAACCATTTCCATTGCTCCACCACCACACGTAAGCTCTTTTGACTTAAAGAACTGGTTTCTGTTAATCAAAGCTTTTTAGGTGAAAGATGTATTAGTACTCTGAGCTCTAAGATCAAGTCTTTGAACTTGAAACTGTTGGGGAAAATGTTGTACAACATTAGCTTGAAAAGTATATATTTAGAAACCATATCGGGCTTGGTTAGGTACGAAACCGGATGTATGGTGCACTGTTATAGGGTCTAAAGTTTGTTGCTTTTGGAAAGCCTTGATAGTGATTTGGAGGATAATCTCTCACTTTCGTTCTTTCTAGTTTCTACTCTCATGTCGAAGAATTTGTCGGTTCTTTGTGGTCTCATGTTGAAGAACATTTCTTTGTCTATGAATTATCACAGCTTACATGCCGCATTTGAGCCTGCTTTACGCCGAGTTAACAGAAGAAGAGAAGAAGAAAGCGCAGGAGAAAGCTTACACGCTCGATGACACCGTAGATGGCCTGAGTTTCCGGTTAAACCGACTCGTTCTCTGCAGGACCGATACCGAAGACAAAACTCTTGAGTCATGGGAGCAAGTGGCTGTATGCAATCTCAATCCTTAAAGAAAGACAATAGTTTGGTTTATGAATCTGTAATAAAAGGTCTCAATGAACTCGCTTTAGAGACCAATGTGTATTTGTCTCTAATATCGAATTATCTTGCAATACTCCTCACGGCACACTGCACCAAACTTTCTAAAAAATTTACATGACTTGCATTTTTAAATAATTTTTTTTTTGTGGAAAAATCTTTGTTTTTTTAGTCTTTCATAATAATTTTATAACATTTGGATCAAAACTCAAAAGACCAAAGCTTCGTTCGATTAATCTAAAAGGTATTTAGGTGGAACTGGTTATGCAATAATTATTAAAAGGTATTTAGGTAGTGCTGGTTTTTTTTCTTCTTTTTTTGGTCGAAGGTGGTGCTGGTTATGCAATGATTATTAAAGGTATATGCAAGCTGGTTATACAATGATTTTTCTTTTGTTTTGTTGAGGCCACGACGTAAAATGTTGTTAACGCACATTATGTCTTGTAATAGTGAATCGTGGTTAGTGATGGACCATTTGGTTTCTATTCGGTTTATCGGTTTTTGATTTTATAGAAATTGAAACCAAAATAATATAAACCGGTTTCAGTTTGTAATTCGGTTTGATATAACAATAATCGGTTGCAGTTTCATTTTTGTAGTTACAAAAAATATAAACCGGTTTATAAAATTTCCCTTATATAAAGTCTCATCGTTTAGGCGAGCCATGTTGAAAAAGAAGGAGAATGACGGAAGAAAACGCAACGCCACTGCAACCGCCGCAAACGCAAGAGGATGCGGATGAGGAGAAGAAGGACATGTATGCGGTTTGGGCGGTACCGGAAGACGACGTGGAGGAACGGCTTCAAAGGTTAATGGAAGGGCTAAGGTCTGAGTTCGGTGGTCCACCGTTTGATCCTCACTTAACACTCGTCGGGCCGCAAAAACTTACGGCCAGCGAGGCTAAACAAATGTTCAAGTCGGCGTGTGAAGGTTTTAAGGCGTATCCGGCCACCGTTGACCAAGTCTCCGCCGGTACTTCTTACTTTCAGTGTGTCTACGTGGCTCTCCGACACACCGTAGAGGTAAAATGTCGCTGCAAGATAATTACATTCAGCTTCAAATTATCATGAGCTCTAACAAAAATAAATTGATAGAGACAAATCATACTAATCGATACTTCTTTTAAGTGCAATTGTGCAAAGCTATTACAAATTTACAAACATTGTTGTGTTATGGTTTTTTGGGTTTAATATTAATGTTTTGTGTTATGTTAACAGGTTATGAATGCTGCGGGACATTTTATGGCTCACTTCAAACCCTTCACCGGGAAATGTATGATTAATCTCTAATCAATAGGATTTCAGTCTTTATTCGAAGTAATTTTACTGATAATATTGTAAATAACGCTAAAAATCATATTACTACCAGAAACGTGTTTTTTTTTCTCTTCTCTTCTTCTGTGTACGTGTGTATGACATGTTGGAATGTTGCAGTGTACGTGCCACATATGAGCATACTCTATGGCGATCTAACAGAGGAAGAGAAGAAGAAAGCGTTAGAGAAAGCTTACACGCTTGATTCGAGTCTCGACGGATTGAATTTTCGGATAAATCGAGTTGCATTATGGATAACCGATGCAGATGTTGGATCTTGGGTGAAAATTGACGAACATAATTTAATTACTTAAATTGACTATAGGAAGAAAAAAAATGTTGATGGTTTGGGTCTATCGCCGATCTTCCTATTGTTCTTGTTCGGTTTATGTCGGTTATAAAATTCGTTTAGTGTGGTATGATGTTTCATGGTTCGGTCGACATTTATGATCGTTTGATCAACATGTGTGTTTGCTTCTGTTTTTCGTTGTTGTTACTTGTTAGCTTCTGATTTTGTGATAAGATAATGACAATGTGAAATTTGTTAATTCTATATTAATATGAGCAGAATATATGTATCTTGTGGGAATATCCCTTTTGTTTCTAGTCTAGTGGTTTGATCTATATCTTGAAGGGTGAATAGTCAAGGATTTGAGTTATTGGATTGTTATCAGAATGATAATAAGATGATTTAAAAATCATAATTCAAAACACGTAATAAGGAACCAATTGGGACTGTAGTTGACATTTGTTACTAAATTACTTATAAATTTCGGAATTGTGAACTACATTACAAATTTTTATACTTAGCCGAATGAGGAAGATACATCTATAATAACAAACTGCATTCCAAATTTTTATACTTGACAAGATGTAATATTTTATTGACACTATCTAATAGGCTTTGGAACTACCACGTGACGTTTATTTGTGTGAAGTGCATGTACCCGATTTGAATTAATTAGATGCTATGAAATCTATATGTTAATTTAAGCAGATATGTATAACTTATAAGTATCTAGTGAGAATATACTTTTTTCATAACTCTTTAACTTATTCTAAAATGAGCTTTAAAAAATATGTTTACAGAAATACGACCCCATTTGGAATTATTTGTCACTAATTACTTAAATATTTGCATTAAAGTTAAGGAATAAGAATTATTAAAAAGTATCAACAAGAATTAGACAAGTTGTCATCAGTCGAGAAAAAAATGATTATCTGTATGCATATGTCTTAAAATAAGAATGTCAGGATCTTGACCTTGCATATTAAATCCACCAAAGTCTAAGAATTATTTTTATATACGAAAATATAGTTAGTTAAGCACAGACGTTGACAAATATAAAGAATATAAAATTACTAAAGATGCTAAAACCATACAAATTCACATGTTATGTTGTGAAAGTTGAATAGTAGTAACTTAACGAGTTTTTTCTTTATAAAATGATACTGAAAAAATAGAGGATGAGGATGAAGATGTCAATCTTTACCTATTCAATGTATACATCAATTTGATCAGATCACATATTTAGCATGAAACCTTATCCAATAAGTTGTTTTCCTTGGACAACTAAAGCGGCTATTATCAAAAGAAAAACAAATAGACAACTAAAGTAGCCTGCAAATTAAAACAAGTGGAAAATATAGTAAACATTTTGTAAAATAAAATGGAAATAGAACTGATGTATTTCTTATCATTTTGAGTTTTGAAGTCTTTGTCCCCAAGTACTGACTTTTTAACTCAACAAAAACCAGGTTGGTTACAGAAGAGAAAAGCGTCGGCGCCACTAAAAACGCGGTCGTTTAATACGAATCGAATCTTACACGTGCGGAATGATCCACACCGTTATTATTCATCTAACGCTGTTTATCTCAACGGCTCAGATCTGAAGTCTTTCATTTCGTCAACGCATTCTTACCGTGGCGCCAGACATGACGTCTCCGTCTCACGTGATTTGAAGCACGTGACACATACGCGCTCAACAGAAGCTGGTTCTCTCCTATTTCTTCTCCGATGACTTTTTTTTTTTTTTTTTAACAGACCAGCTTTCTCTTCTCCATTACGGCATCACCCACCTATAAAATTCGCCACTGGGTTTTTTGTTTCTCTCTCTCAATTGCTCTGAAATTCCTAAAAGATACACTTTTTGATTCTTCGTATTCTTATTTGATTCCCTTGTTCAGTTTCTTCACAGATTGTGCGAATCGGGTTTAATCAGGGTTTTAGGGTTTGCCTTATCTCGATATCTGCGTAGAATTTTGTCAAAGGGCATTGATTTGCCTTTTTAAAGCTTTGATTTTTCGTTGACCTTCCCAGATTTTCGGATACAGTCAGGGTTTTAGGATCGAATTAGTTTCGTGGGTTTTTTTTTGGTGGGGGGATGGAAGAGGAATACCAAACGCCGCGGTTTACGATTGGTCGGCAATCGTCGATGGCGCCGGAGAAGAATCCGGAGCCGTCGATTCACTCGGAAGAAGAGGTGTTGGAGGATGGAGAAGAGATCCCAGGTGGTGTAAGACTTATGTATTTGTGTAATGAAGGTGAGATTGAAGGGATTAAGGAGCTTCTTGACTCCGGGATCGATGCTAATTACAGAGACATTGATGATCGGACTGCTCTCCACGTGGCGGCTTGCCAGGGATTGAAAGATGTCGTCGAGCTTCTTCTTGATCGGAAAGCCGAGGTTGATCCTAAAGATCGCTGGGGAAGCACTGTAAGAAGAAACAAAGCCACAAACTTTTTTTTCTTTCATTTTTCTGTTGATTGAATCTCTGTTTAGTTGCGTTATGATGGATAGATAGATGATGATGATGTTTTGTAGTAATCTAATACATTTTAGAAAACAGCCTCTTGCAGATGCGATATTCTACAAGAACGTTGATGTAATCAAGATTCTTGAGATACATGGAGCTAAGCTTCCGGTAAGAATCTATCTGAAAATGATTAATGTGGTCTGTTTTCAGCCATTCTTCATTGTTGCTGACACATTTGTATGTTTCAGATTGCTCCAATGCACGTGAATACTGCTCGTGAAGTCCCTGAATATGAAATCAATCCTAATGAGCTTGATTTCACTCAAAGCAAAGAGATATCAAAGGTGAAAAACATGTCCATGTCTTTAATAAATCTCTTATCGATGTGTTCAATGCATTTCCATCTAATGGTATGAAGCTTCTTGTTTCAGGGAACTTACTGTATGGCAATGTGGCGTGGCATTCAAGTTGCGGTGAAGAAGCTCGATGATAAAGTTTTGAGCGATGAAGATCAAGTGTAAGTAAAATATATCTTGTTGAGGGTAATAAGGTCTTAGATTCCAATTTCTTACCATGATCGTGTTGTGTATGTGCGCGCAGGAGGAAATTCCACGATGAGCTTGCATTGCTCCAAAGGCTTAGGCATCCAAACATTGTTCAGTTTCTTGGTGCTGTAACCCAAAGTAATCCAATGATGATTGTTACTGAATATTTGCCCAGGGTATGATGACTTTCTCTGATAGATTTGAAAATCTTGTTTTTTCTCTTTAGCTTCTTGAAACCAAAATCTCATTTGATATATTCTTCAGGGGGATTTGCGTGAATTGCTCAAAAGGAAAGGACAACTGAAACCAGCTACTGCTGTTAGATACGCACTTGATATTGCAAGGTATGCGATTTAAAGCTATATGCGTCTTCTTCTTACCTTATAAATGTTCTTATTAGATTCGCTTGTAATTCTTACCCGTTCGAATATCTTTTAGGGGAATGAGCTATCTTCATGAGATCAAAGGAGATCCTATAATCCACCGCGATCTTGAACCTTCGTGAGTCCATATAAGCTGTTTTTCCCCCTCTTGTATGTGTAACCCTGAACTAGCTCTTTTTATTCTCTGACAATTGTACAATTAATATTTGCAGAAACATATTGCGGGATGATTCAGGGCATCTGAAAGTTGCAGACTTTGGAGTAAGCAAGCTTGTTACAGTTAAAGAAGACAAGCCTTTCACATGTCCTGACACTTCTCGTAAGTGTTTCTTTCGCACCCGTCTAGATTATAAACTTGGGAGCGTTAATTCTTTATCTGTTTGGTCAAGAGTCTTGATTACTGGATATGTTATGATGAAAAAATAATTTCGTTGTTATTGACATCATAGGTCGATATATTGCTCCTGAGGTTTTCACTAGCGAAGAATACGACACAAAAGCTGATGTTTTTTCGTTTGCGTTGATCGTTCAAGAGGTAAGTAAAAAAAAAAAAACTTTTTTCTTTCCAGTTTGCTCTTTCTTTGTTCATGTCTTTGACTCCTTTCAGTTTTTGGATTATTTAGATGATCGAAGGACGAATACCCTTTGCTGAAAAGGAAGACAATGAAGCTTCAGATGCTTATGCTCGCAAAGATCGACCATTGTTCAAAGCTCCATCAAAGCATTACCCTCATGGACTTAAAACGTGAGTCTTATTTTCTCTACAACATCAAACTGAAAAGGACAGTTTTGCATCATTGATTGATTTAGTTCATGTCATTAACTGGTTGGGCTCTTTCTTGGATCCCATAGGTTGATAGAAGAATGTTGGCTAGATAAACCCTCCAAGCGACCGACTTTCAGTGAGATCATCAAACGGCTTGAGTCCATTCTTCACCACATGGGTCACAAGCGACAATGGAGGGTCTGTCTCTTTCTCTCTCTTTTGCACAAATCATATAGTATGATGTTTTTTGGCTGCTATATTATGTTTTATTTGTCTCTCTTACCTGTTTCTTCTTCCGCATGTTTTTTTTTTTCTCAGATGAGGCCATTGACATGCTTTCAGAATTTCGAGCACAAGAAGAAACGTAATTGGGATTTGGGCAGCCATGACGGCTCATCATCCGGTTCACATTTGTAATTCTTGAACTGGTTGAAAAAAAAAACGATTCTTTTGAATTCCTTCCGGTTGAGTTTGGTCTTATTCCTAAACAACCGAAATTTACTTTGTAATTGTAATTTTGCTCTACACTGAAGAAACTCTTCGTGTGGACAAAAGCTGCGATTTATTGTAGTATAAAAATTGTTGTAAGATGTATGATTTTAACCTCAACATATATTTGCTGTTGTAATCTAAAACTGGTGTAGAAGTTATGATTCAGCTTCAATGTATGGTCCCGTATCAAAATGTAAGAAAGTCATTTAAAAAATAATATAGTAATAAGTTTATCATGATCAAAGAATAACAAATATTAAGAAAATCAGGGGGGGGGGATTATGATGTTAGAAATTTTGTTTATAATTCAATTTCAAATTCTGAAATTTTGGTTATGTTTCCTTGATTGGAGCACTTTGAAACTTTATGTTGCTTCAAAATCAGTCTGGTGCTCATTTAAAAAATAAATAAATAAAATTCTTTTTCCCCCAACAATTTTCTTACAGTATATGTCTTGTTTTGTTTGCTAAGACAGATAAATAATGTATCGATCTAAGCAATTGGATAACACCACTGGTTCTTATGTGAGTGTTACTTTTCCATAGAAGTCATATTCCTAAAATGTGATTTTTTAAAAACCAAATGAAATTTTCATGTCTATCACAAAAGAATATATGCATCAAAAATGTGAAAAACGCACATAAAATTCATATACATTTCTAAGAGGGTCCCAACAACAGGTTCTTGATTTGGAAACTGTATTGAATTATTTGTAATTAAGGTCTCATGTGCCACTTTACCGTGGCCACACCAATTGCATATAGGTTATGTATAACTTCATAATGAACGAATTTGATTTAGTAAAGTTTACTCCTCGAAGGCTGGGACTAGAGCTTTTAGTATATTGATTTGTACTAGTACCTCAGATGTGTTATATAAAATCCAAGTAAAAAGAAAAATATTATTATCATCTCATTAATTATCACATATATCTGTTGTTAGTGCACGAAAGTATATATCTTCGGTTTTTTTTTTCTGTTAAGTTTTTTTAAGCAATATATTGTATTTAGTATTCGTAAGCGAGAAAGTAAAACAGTTTAAAAGTGTCGGAAGACAATCATTTTACATCATATGATAAGCACAATCCATACCTATTTTGTCAGCTGATTAACTAAATTCACAGTTTAGTTTAATTTGTTTAACAAAATAATTAACCCTTAATTTGAAAACTAAATGAGAAAGAGCTTATATACGAATACATAAACTATCATTTGTCTTGTGGATCTCTGCATGTGGTTAATTTTGGTAACGATTTCTCATCAGTCCAACTCATTTATGACACTGGAAGAATATGTGGGAGCAAGTTTCATCAGTAGCTGTTTAACAGAGTAAGATTCTCGGATCAATCCACAGACCAATTAATCCTTCTTAATTAGGACAAAAAAATTGGGAAAAAAACAGCCAGCTAAAAAATCCATGTTAGGGACCTCTCAAAAACTAGTCTGCTTTTAAGTAACTAATGGCCAATGATTCTTCATAACGCATAATATATTTTCGCAGCCTCTAATATTATTGCTAGTCCACCATTCATAATCATAGGTATCAACTGAGTCTGAAAGGAACAACGAAAACATATGGATTTGGATGCTCACTTTGGGATTTTGATCTAGCAGGAGGTTTACTCTAGATTCCATTGTACAAGTCTTAAGGTATGCATTCAAACTGTTCATTATTAATTTATTATTTAAATGACAAGGAAGAAACAATTAGGGAACAAAAACATATATGCATTTCAGTGATCCTTTCTCCAATACAAAATTTATGGCCTCCTTTGTATCTTGTTTTGACATTTATTGTATGTTGTTGATATGTAATCATTAATAACTGATAATTTATATAGTAGCTAGTTCACATCATATATGTCATTGTGAGCTTAGTGTATATTTTCTATGTGAATACGTTTATCGATTTAAATACTGAAAATAGTATTGCGGATTTCATTTTGATAATTGTTGTGAATAATGGAATATAATGGAATCACATTCAACGTAAAAATGTGAATAAATGATATATCATTCATCACTTTAAAAAAAAAAAAACATTTGATAGTGAACCTCCAGCCACTCAAAGCAAAATATGTTTTGGAGGTTTAGAGTTGGAACACTGCGATGGGAGATTACTATAATTAACCCTACTATTATCCCATAACCTAGAGAGAGTGGCTTTGGCTCGGAAATTTTCGGATAATTAAAAAAAAAACTTAATATATGGTTACTGTAATTAACTTAATTATTTATACATTAAAATAATTCAACGACTTACAGAATTAAAAAAGAAACTCAATAGTGATCAAAATATGGTGGAAAGCAACCCTCTATTGTGGTCCATATCATTGAAGATACGAGAAGATATTGTGGTTTTTAAAACCCACTCCGACAGTCCGACCATGAAAGCTTGACCCAAAGCAATTGAGTTGTTAACTTTTATAAATGACCTAATCAATGTCTATGTAAAGGAAATCCAAATTTGTTTTAACTAATTTTGTAATTTTATTAATGAATATACTTACATATATTGGTCAATTCACATGCTAGAGAAATATTGATAATGTTTAATTAACTAATTTCTTACTAACTACTAAGTCTAACTCTTACTAATTAAATACATTACAGATCGAAGGTACCTTATTTTCCCACAACCTGTGTTTTATTAAGACTATATTGTACCAAAAGGTGTTTATTGTAAATAAAATTTGATCTAAAAATACAAAAACCGACTGAATAAAATGAAATCTCCAGAGATAAAGACCCAAACAAAAAAAATACAAGTCCTAAAAATAGAAAATATGAATCCAAACGAAGGAAGCAATATACGAAACTATACTAGAAAACCAATGGATTAACAACTAATAGCAGGATAAATTAAACTGATTAAACGATTCTCCTCCATGATATTTTTCAAAAAGGTATCATATTAAGTTGGACTAAATTTTCTAATTACAAAATAAATAAATAAAAGTAAAAAAGAAACTAAAGCACCTTGCAAGTGGGTGTATATAGTTATTTTCACATAAATATGAATATGCGATGTATAATGTAGGTTTCTCATATCTCTATCACATTACCCTAAATGGGTTCATAAAGATGGAGATCAAAGACTACACATCACATGCTATTCTCCCTCTTCTTTTGGCATAACCTTACTCCATTTATACATTTTGCTCCTCAATTATTCAAGAGTATAAAAATCTTAGATAATCGACACATTTCCTTTCCTCCACATACACAAGATTTCGCTTCTTTTATTTTTATTTTTTATACCTAGAGATCCCGACTTAAAATTAACATTAGTTTTGGAGACAGTAAACAAATTAAGGTTCATATTAATTTTTCCAACAAAGTATTTCTTTTTACTTGACTTCTTACATAGCCGAATCAAGGGAACACTAAATTAACGCAACACTTACAAAAATTTAGTATTCTTGCCATACAAGACATACATAGTGCCATAGTGGTCATATTCCTAGCAAAATCACGATGAAAGCACTTGAATTTTGGTCCGTAGACTTAAGGGATGAACCCTTAATATTGTATCATTGGTTAAACAATATTTATTTTGATAAAACAAAAAAGCTTGTTAATTTACTTACGGAATATATTTTGAAAATTTTCCATTTCTTGGAACAATATAATTCAAAACAAAAATATTAAATATGATGATATTTAATCATCTATATATAGCTAACAGAAAAAAAATCAATCAGCGGAACGAACAACTAGATTTTAACTCTGGATTTTGAGTCTTTGACTATATTCTAAAGTCGAGGACACAAAAAAATAAAAATCTCCGATTTCATAGAACACAAGACATTTTCCTTCAAATCAACAGTAAAATGGGACTTAACATTGGAGAGATGATATAGAGAAGGAGGGAAAAAAGTCAATGAAGAAAAAAAAACGTAAGTGAATGAGTGTTTTTTTTTTAATTCTAAATGGATGAGTTTGATCAAAAAAAAAAAAGAGAACAAAAAAAAACGTAAAGAGAGAGAGAGAGAGAGAGAGAGAGAGAGAGATTAAAGTAGTTGGAGATGAGAGAAAAAGTCTGGTTACCTTCTAATTGAGTCAGACGTATTACACTTAAATAACTTTCCAAATTAAGCCGTACGTCTTGTCCAGCCCCATAAAAGTACGCTTCATTTCCCTATTTCCCCTATAAAACCCTAAAACCCTATTTATCGATCTAATTATTTTTATCTTTTTGTATATATGTATATATGTCAATATCACAACAACTAAACATCATCAACTCCAAATCTCAGTAACACATAAAAAGTATGCTAATTTCCTTCACAATCTGAGTAATTTTCTATTTTGTTTTTACATTATCCTCTATTTTCCAGAAAAAGAGACAATCACATTGGTACTCACTACTGTTCAGTTTAGCCAAATAGATGATTATACAATTTTTTATATTTGTTACTCCATTTAGACACAACCAGCTCATATATGAAATCTTTCAACTAAAATATTTTATAAATCAAAATTGAAGTATATATATTTTTTTTTATTTAGCCTTGGTTGCTACTCAGAATCCAAAAGAAAATATATGTTTGAAAAATAATATTAAATATGTTTATGTTTACAACATATTTTGTTTACAAGTTATATATATACATACAACTTCCGTGTTAAGTGGAACAAATTTTCCTGCAAAATGTCAAGAAAATCTTATACATCAAATTTTCAAAAAAAAGAAAGGGAATAGAGCTGATAAATTTTCCTCTTTGAAAAGATCAAGATTTAGTAAAACACAAAGAAGAAGATCAATATTTGTTGTATCAAAAAAATAACATGTACTAAGATTTTTACCCAAAGATTTTAGTGCCTCAAAAACTTTCACACGAAAAGGAAAGACAAGTAATGGTAAGTAGAGTCTGCATCTCATGAGTGATTGCCCAACTTGAACCCTCTTTTCATTTAGACCTTTGTGAAAGACCACACAAGAACTATCCACCAATAAAACTCTCTTTTAATATTTTTCCTCCATTTTCATTTTTTTTTCAGTAGTTTCTCAATTTGGGATGTCCTTAATAAGTATTATATTTATGAAATGTCTAGATGTATGGTGGGTGTTATTTATGGTAATTAACCCTCTATTTAATAATTATATTTTTCATGTGATTTGAAAAGCTGCTATACTCATGCTTTGTATGAAGAACCTCTTGACTGCTCTTTGTCAATCAATTCTATTTTTTTTTTAATAACTTAAACATATCTTAAATTTTCTGAAAATGAGTAACATTTTAAACTAATTTTACTCACAAAAATATTATCCAAGTACATACATACCTTAGTCGATTCTGGTAGTCTTCCACCGTAGAACTTGATATTTGGATCTATTTGTTTTAGAAAGTACATGTTTACATCCATCTAATAAATAAGAAACACAAACTTATCTCGTAGATATGATTCATAAAACTATGCTTTAGTGAGTAAGAAAACCAGTAATCAACACAAATTGACAAGACACTATATGGATGTAAAAAGTGGAAAATAAAATTGTGATAGAAATTAGAGAAAAATTAAAAGAAAATATATTCCTTTATAAATGTATATACCCATCTCTTCACCAGCACAACCTTACCTTCCATTTTCTGCAACTTCTCCAAATCTCATACTTTCCAGAAAATCATTTTCCCAAGAAAAATAAAACTTTCCTCTTTGTTCTTCTCCCCCCAACAGGTCAGTCTAACATTTTGTTGTTCCCCAATCCTTTCAAACATTATCTTCTTCATAATATTACTTTGCTTCACTTCTTTTGGTCCTTAAACCAAATCTATGTTCTTCTTTAGTTTCCTTTTTTCCTGTTTTGATTAGATTCTTTTTATGTTGTTTAGAGAGAAACAACAAGTTCTTCTTTGCTCTTTATTTTATTTTTTTCATAGTCTAGATTGAATTTGTTCTTTTGAATTCCAATAGATTTTGGTCTTAGTTAAACTTGCTTTTTCATCCTTTCTTCCCACAAAAAGTCGTCAAAGACCAAAAAAAATTCCCATGATTATCTTGTTAGGAGAATATGAATGCAAGATCAAAAAAGATTACTTATTTTCCTTAGTTGTGTGTCGGCAAGAGATATTAAAATTGAATCTTTCTAATTCACTTTATTTGATCTCAACCATAATTCGATCGAATAGAAAACATGACAAATCTGGAGCCTTTTCTTTCAAGAAAGATATTGATGGTTAATTTTCTTGGATTCTTGTTTTGGACTAAGTAATTTTGCCCTGAATGTTTTGGCTTTTGGAGCAGCAAACACGGCCTACCAAATGGAGCTAGGAGGAGATTCCTCTCCACTGAGGAAATCTGGGAGAGGAAAGATCGAAATCAAACGGATCGAAAACACAACGAATCGTCAAGTCACTTTCTGCAAACGCAGAAATGGTTTGCTCAAGAAAGCTTACGAACTCTCTGTTCTTTGTGACGCTGAAGTCGCACTCATCGTCTTCTCTAGCCGTGGCCGTCTCTATGAGTACTCAAACAACAGGTTTCTTCTTCTGCTCTGTTCTTAGTTTTTATTAGCTTAATTAATTACTTTAAAGTCCGATTTAGGGTTATGTTAAAGCTCGAATCTTTACTAGGGTTTAAGATCTTCTGTGCTAGATTTGATTCTATTCTTCTTCTATGTGTTGGATCCTCATGTGGGAAGGATTATTTTTGACTTTTTTCTTGAAATTCTATATATATACATACTCAGATACACACTAACAATTGTGAGAATCTTTTTTTGGTATACATGTTTATATTAATTAGATTGGGTTTATTTCATAAATTTGTACTGAATCTCTAGATCTAATTTCTTCTTCAAGTACATTATACTGAAGTTTTAACAAAAAAAAAAAAAAAGAGAAAACTTGTTATATATAAATTGAGTAAAATGTTCATTCAAAAAATAAATTGAGTAAAATGGTACAAATTTATGTAGATCTGAGTGAAAGTTAGATAATAAATGAAAAGAAATAAGAAACAATCGGAGCTTTCTAATGTGGAGTTTTAGATTCAGTTTTGTAGAACTAAGATTCACTTTGTTGGGGTTTCTTTATTCACTCAATTCTGTTACATATATATAATAATAATAATAAAAAATCTTATAACTTTCTATTTTCCCTACTAACAAGTACTTCAAGATTTAGATATATTTATAGATCTGGTGTTGTAATAGGTAAAATCTTGATTTTTATGACCATAAAAGAAAGTTTTGGGAAACAAATTGGGGAGAGTAAGGACTATGAGGTCATATCTTCTGTTTTGTGATCATCCCATCCTCCATTGTTGTTAATGTCTGTGTCTCTCTTTCCCTTCACTTCTTTCTCTTACTTTCCTTTCTTATCTCTCTCTCTTTCTCTCTCATGAATTATCATATCATATATTTGATACAACCACATGTGATGGAAGTGCGAGTAAAATAAGGTGAAAACAGATTTTTGAACGTTTAAAAAATTGAACTTATGAGTGATGGAAATAATGGAAAGTACAAGTAGGACAAATGTTTATAAGGCTTTTGTCTTTGTGAATGTTAAGTTTTTGTTTATTTTGTAGTGATGGACAGAATTTCAAATATCTATGATCTAGGATTAGTTAGAAGTGGTTATAGCCAAAGAAAGGGGTCATTTTGTCCATAATTTATTGGGATTTTTTTTTACTATCTTTGAAATATTCAAAGTAGAGAAGAAATATATAAAGAACATTTTCAACTCCAACCATAAAAGATTTGAAACTCAATAAGAGTTTCAAGATTCCAAAAGTCAATTAAAGAAGGAGATAATTAAGAAAAATAAGCTATGGGGTCTCTCTTTTCTCCTTAATATTACTCTTTTTACAAGTGAAATAATCAAAGCTCATTTCGAATTACATTACTTAAACTAGAAATCTCTCCAATTCCACACGTAATTTTCGATATTTATTAGAATCCCACGTGATTTCGCCTCTCTTCCTCCAAACATAAAACATGTCAAAACTAAATGGTTTAAAAAAGTCTTTTTTTTTCTTAATCGCTTACAGTTGTCAACTCATGTCCTGAAATATGTAATGCGCATGTCCAAAAAAAGAAAAGCTAACGAAGACTTCAAAACAACCAGTCAAAATTAATCGTCATTTACCTAACATTTTTTTATATATATCCAGTGGGTACTAAACGTAATCAGATTTTCGTTTTTTGGAGTTCTTTTTAAAATTTTTGAACTTTTTATTTAGAGGTTGGTATTGAGCGCAAGATATTAGGTTTGGTCTCTGTAAGATTTGTTGTCTTTGTTACAGAATCTTTGATCACGTCATCACACAGATATTATTTATTTTATTTATCAGTTATATTTATTATTATAAAGTTTTGTTAGTTTCAGTTCTTGACTTCTGACAAGAGGGTTTATGTCATAATGAATTAATTTATAAACTATTTATAAATTCAAAAAAGAATCTCATATTACTACTTTTGACTATTTAATATTAGATTTCACATTTGGTCAATACCCAATATAATTATTGCTACCCAGAAAAAAAAAATATAATTCATATTATATGTATTTATATGTATACATACACATAGATTTGTTCCCCCAAAAAAGTGTTATATACAGATAGAGACAAATAATAAGGATATACTTAAATTTGTTTCATATTTCTAGGAACTAAAAAGATTAACGATCACTGAATCAGTAAAGTTGGTATAGATGTAGAGCATTGGAATTGCTTCAACATCTTTGGTGTAGATACTTTTATGCAATTTATCTTTCTTTGTTTAAATTATTTTTTTGTCTAGAGAGATAGAGTTAGGGCTTTTCTCATATTCTCTCTCCTTATGGGCAGAGAAGAAAGTGAGATTTTTTTTTGTATAGATCCACTAATATTAAGAGTCTTTTTTAGAAAAAGAAAATAAAATTAAGTTTTGTTCTTCTGTGATCCCGAAAATGGACGGCCACGATTCCTCCATCGAAGGTTCAGACATCATAGTCTATAATATGTCATTGTAGTTGTACGTATATACATACATGTATATATATATAAATCAATATGTATACAGAAAACTGAGAAGAAGAATAAATGGGTAGAATAGTAATTTAATTATATTCCATAAAAGGAAAGTATGGAACGTTGTGATGTTACTCGGACAAGTCATTTAGTTACATCACAATTAAATTAATCCGATGGTTAAAATTTAAAACTATCAAATGTCTGTTGGATTCACCAATGTGTAATGGGTTTTCGACACGTGTCATATGTCTGAAACCCTAGACATGTTCAGACCAATCATGTCACTCTAATTTTGCCAGCAAGACAGTTGCAGCCAATCACTGGCTCGATAAATTTAAGGTTTCAGAGGAATAAGGATTCAGGTTAAATTATAAAATGATTCTTTATTTGTTACAACTTTAAGGAATATTTTACTAACATTTTAATTGTTTTCTTATATGTACTTCTTTTTTTTTTATCTTCTTCACATCATATGTCACATTATGTCTCATTTGTTCTGACTCAAAAGAACCAATGTTTGCTTTTAAGGTTTCGTATTAAAATCACTTAACTAAGCAAGTGGGCGATTTGACCTTATAATTTTTTTTTCTTATTTTTCGAAATGCTGATTTAAGCGTATGTAAATTGTATTGGTTACTTACTTAATTTACTTATTAACTCCTTATAAATTTATTTTTTGCAGTGTAAAAGGGACAATCGAGAGGTACAAGAAGGCAATATCGGATAATTCCAACACCGGATCGGTGGCAGAAATTAATGCACAGGTAACTTAAAATTACACGTATTATTATACGTTTTTTTTTTCTTCCAAAAATTGTGTACTAATATATCAAATGTTCATACTTTCTACCTTTTTTTTTGAAGTATTACCAACAAGAATCGGCCAAATTGCGTCAACAAATAATCAGCATACAAAACTCGAACAGGTTAATATCATCTAAATGACTTAAATATTGATTAGCTAGTTTTTTGTGCTAAATATATTGATTAGTTAGTTGTTAATAGCTATTTGATATGTTGATTTTATTTGTAAAAATTAACTAGGCAATTGATGGGTGAGACGATAGGGTCAATGTCTCCCAAAGAGCTTAGGAATTTGGAAGGCAGATTAGACAGAAGTATCAACCGAATCCGATCCAAGAAGGTAATTATATATTTATAAATACTTCAAATCAATTTATTTATTTATTTATATATATATATATATGCCTTTTCGCTAAATTTACAAATTATTCTCTTTATATACATATTTTTACAGAATGAACTCTTATTCGCCGAAATTGACTACATGCAGAAGAGAGTAAGACGTATATCTAATATGATTTCCGTTGTTAATTTCTATTCATGATAATTTTGCTCATCTGTAATGAACGTTTAATTTGTGCAGGAAGTTGATTTGCATAACGATAACCAGCTTCTTCGTGCTAAGGTAATTTGTATATTACATCTATTTCTATGTATTTAATTTTCTTGGTAATTTCTCAACGATTTGTTTCAATAAATATAACATAAAAAAATGTTATATAAAAATGAATATAGATAGCTGAAAACGAGAGGAACAATCCAAGTATGAATCTGATGCCAGGAGGATCTAACTACGAGCAGATAATGCCACCGCCTCAAACGCAATCTCAACCGTTTGATTCAAGGAATTATTTCCAAGTCGCGGCATTGCAACCTAACAATCACCATTACTCATCCGCTGGTCGCCAAGACCAAACCGCTCTTCAGTTAGTGTAAGAAAACAAATCTTGCTCTGTTCAACTTTTCTAATTTTGGGCGATTTTCTATAAGTTAATTTCCTCGTTCTTATATTTCATTTGTTTTGCAGGTAGTATTGGCTGAAGGAATGAAGAATGAATAAAAACCAGAATTGGGTTGAGCAATATAAAGCTAATGCATGTTATATAAGGTGTTACATATTTATTTCATGAATGTTGTATCGATGATTGTTATAGTACTTATTTAAATTGCTTATGTTGATGTGAAATTAATATCTTAAAGACATGCTTTATTAGTCTAAAGACAACTATGTGTATAAGTGAATTATTATTAGCTCAGCTGTGGTACTTACCAATTCATGCCTTATTAATGGTTCTTGTGATTTGCTTATAGTTCAGGATTATAAGATTTTGTAATTATAATCTCCTTTAGTAGGGTCAGATGTTTAATTTCCCTCCACCCAGAAGGCCAGAACACATCAGGTTTCTCATCATCTATAACATTTTGTGATGGCTCCATGTCAGCTCTCAGAACAACAAATAGTGCTCATTTGCCAAGCCTCACTTTACCAAATTTGGAGAAAACGCAAATTTGGCTCCACCTCTCGAAATCTCAATTAATTAGTAGTTGTAGTAAGGCGACTTATATATGCAGACTCATAACGAACATGTTATGCTCCATTGATTTGTGAACACACGTACATTGTAGACTATTTGACCATTTTTAATTTTGGTGTTTTTAAACCGCAGCTAACACTTACGTTTAAATCCTACTTCTTATTGCATGCCCAACTATTCTAAATTCTGGTTTCTAATTTATATTCAAGTCTCAAATCAAAACATGGAGTTATATACCCCAAAAAAAAATTGAGTTATAATCTAGAAAAAAAAAATACCCTACAAAGAAAAAGACTATATATAAATGAAATAGTTGGTGGAAAAAAATATCTCAAAAAGAAAAAAAAAATTGAATTGAACCGCGGGTTGAAAATTAAGAAAACAAACCGGTCTGGGAAATCGGAAGCGGTCATTACAAAAATCAAATTACATGCATAAACCAAAGTCGATATTAAGCCCTTGTGAAAAAAGAAAAAAAAAAGATATTAGGCCCCTTGTTTGTGAACAGAAATTAACTTGTCTGAGCAAATTTCTTGTCCAATTGGTTTCCAAAATTCAAATCACATGAAGAGAAAATTAAACTAACCATAGTAAAAAGTGAATAGCTTAGTTGGTTCCTGGTCAAGAACCGGACTATCATTAACCAAAGGAATAAACTTTAATTAACCAAAAAAGAAGAAGAAACCGAATCCTTTTTTTGTCAAACTGAGACTCTGTTTCTTTTACTTCAAAATTGCAGAAAAAATAAGAATCTCCGAGACTCAAGCTTCCTCTCTTATCCAAATTCTCCATTTAGTTACTTCAGTTTTTTCTTAGATCCATTTACTAGAAATATATTTGAAAATGTTAAAAAATATTAATACATTGTAAGAATAGAATCAAACATCCAAAAGAGTTTTTACATTATATAAAAAAACAGTAACTTCATGTCGTTATATATAGAACGATGATTCATTAACTCCACAACAAACAAACAGTTCTTCTTCAACGAAAAGAAAAACAACTATCAAACACTTGCAAATGATTAAAAATCTTTCACGCTCTCTGTTTGTGTGGAGGAAACTTCATGAACTAGAGCATAGCAAGCTGCTGAATATCATAAGGATGAGCATCAGAAGCAGATTCTCTCCTAAAAGATCGACTACCGATTACAATATTCGCTGCTTCTCCTGGATGAAACGCATCCCAAAACACATACTCATCTCTGTTTAGACATGGAGCTTGACCCGGTAAACATGTTATCTGTCCATTGTTCCTCCCAACTCCACAACATCCCGCATTTGTCACCCTAAAACCTGAACCATTACCAAGAATTCGATGAATCTAACAAGAACTGTTATTTTCGATTTAGGGTTTAGATTAAGAGGTGAGATTACTCTTTACCATAGCGAGCACGATTGGCTACCATGTCTTGGAAGATACCATAAGCATTGATGTAAGTGAATTTGGCGTCTGGTGTGTTTTGGTTGAAATGGTCAACCAAAGACACGAGCTTGCTATTGAAGATTCTGTTTGCAGAGTTGATCCTTTCGTCACAAGTTGTCCCGTCTCTGCTGTTCTGCGCCAGCTCATTTGGGCTGCATCCTATTGCGCCGATACCAATTAACGCAAACTTCCTTGCTCCGTTGCTATACATTATCTACTCCACACACACACATACACAAAATACAGATATCAAACGCTATTCTTGGCTCAAAGACTCATATGAAACAGAGGATTTAAGAAACAGAGGATATAGCAAGTAAATGAACGAACCCGAAGCTGCTCGGTGTAGCGGTTGATGAGGTCGTTGGCAAAGGAATCAGGGGAGTATTGATTTCCGGTGGAGTAATAGAGAGGCATAAAATAGTTATTGAGATAGTCGTTACTGCCTAAACCGATCGAGTAGATGCATTTACTTAGGTAATTAGCAGCTTCATTCTCGTCTCCTAGTATGTTCACCACTTGTGACACAGTGTTCACGTGATTAGCTACTTGCCCTGCAAATGTTATCCTAGCACCCTGAACCAAAAAAGGAAAGAGATTTATGTTTCCTAATTAAGAAACTTAAGCCTAAAATGATATGTTACATCAAACCAAAAACAGAGTATATTCTGTTTAAAGTAATAACTTACCAACTGACGACCGGTTTCTTCTCGGACTCCAGCAGCTGCAGAAGCGTAGTTTACTCCTCTCAGAATATCTTCTCCCCTTGCTTGAGCATATGGTGTAATGTAGTCATCGAAACCAAGAAGCTCAGCTTTTTTAGTTTTTCCCGCAAAAGAAAACAGAAAAGTTAGTTTTTTTTTCTCACAAAAGAACAGAAACATAACAGAAGAAGAAGGGTGTTTTGATAAGATTACTGATGACATCTACGGTGGTTTTGCCGTTGCAGAACCTTCCGGTTGGACCAAACGGGAAGTCAATACCATAAGGGAAGTAATCAGCTCTTGCTAAGGATTGAAGCTGATTGTTGTTTCCACTATCAACCAAAGAATCACCAAATATGAAGTAACACGGGGCTATTGGATCACCCATAGCCATGTTCATAGCTATAGCTAGCATCATCATTATCATTATCATCATTACACAAACTCTAGCCATCTCTCTGGAAACCGGTAAGAGAGAGAATGTGAAGAAGAGGAGAGAGAGAGAGAGAGAGAGAGATTGGTTGAAGAACGTGAAGAATGTAAATGGGTGTGTATATAATAAACGTCAGAAGAATATGGAGGGAATGACAAAAGAAAAAAAAAAGTTTTGAGCTTTTGACGGTTGCAGAAGTATTTAATGTCACGCGGTGATAATGTTTATGTGTAGATATGTAAAGTAACTGTATAGGAATGGATCTGGAGACATAACGAGTGAAGGAGAGTTAATAATACTCTGTTTCTTACAGTACTCGGACCAACTTGTATGCAATGTGATAATTCTGTTATTATAGTTTGCCAGAAAAAGTTAAGAACTTAGTCAAATCGATGGTTGCATTGTTAATGGGTTATTTAAAGAATTTGAGATTCAAAACCAAGATTGAGATGGGGACAACGACTAAGTTACTCTTTCACCTTTTCTAGCTTACTTTGCTACTGTGCAAGGGGATGAGACAATGGTTTGGTTTTGTAATAGAGGGAAAATTGTACACATATCATGAGATGGGAGGGCCACTTGCATTTTGATCATGTCTCCTGTGTCCTAAGATTCTTTCAATGGAACGGCTAAGATTGATTCTGGTTGGGTTCAAATCGAGGGTGAAGAATGATGTTGAGGTAAGGATGTATGTATTTATGGAGGTAGATGGAAGAAACATTAAATGGGAAGAGGAAGAGACACTATGTCATGACGATGATCATCATAATTGACATAATGTGGTAGTTGAAGTTCATAAATTCATTTGTCTTTGTTCATGCTTCTTGTTCTTCAGTGATAAAGTAAACAAATTATCACATTGGGACCAAATTGTGAAGCATTTGTCTACAAAGATTCAACATTTCTGTACTTAAGTAGCCACCAAAAGCATTAATAAGACGAATTTAGAATAGGGTTGGTAAAGTAATGAGGATAGAGTGGACCATTAAAAAATGATAAATGAAATTTGTTGTTATAATGTGACTTTGAGGTTTTGAAGTCAGTGGATTCATAAATTCGAAGCATGATCTTGTGGGGTTTTCTGACACAGCAAATTAGTTAAGCAAACACGCTGGATTCTTTATCAAAATAAAGAAACCTTTCAAAACATAAAATAAAGAACGTATAAAATGATCATATCTACACCAACCACATGCAAGGATTTATGAACAAAAGAAAGCATTGAGTGTCATTGAACACTGACAATTCATTTGTGTTATCAAGAAAGAGGATAACTTTATTAATGGAGATTCTTTTTACCATCTTCAAGATAATTTCACAGTTAAGAAATTACAATCAAGACTTAGAACTTTAAGGTAATATATACATATACATGTGAGTGTGTTCATGAGAATGAAATCAACCTTCTTCAGATGAATATCTTTTGACTCTAACCCTTTCACCATTGAAGTAGATGTATTTGAATTCAGAGAGGTACCTCTTGAGAATCAGTTTCCGCTTTTCTTCTTGGCCGAGTTCCCTGAAAGCCCGTGCCACTCTCCTCGCTGTATCTTCGTCTGGCCTCACCTTCAGCTCCTCCATGTCTGCAAACACCTGAAAGAGAAAATCAAAAGAAAATGAGTCTAAAAGCAAGCCATACTGCTCACAAAGTGCATAATCCTCACAAAAACTTGAGTATCGAAAGAGTAACATCCAGATCAAATATCGAGGAAAGAAAGAAAGAAAGGGAAAGACAGTTGATCTACCTCGATGACCTTATCTTGAAGGCCATGGTGAGCATACAAAGCTACCATCCTGGCGAACAAGCGTCTTGGAATGGATCGTGTATGCGTGTGCAGAATCATGTTCCATAACGATTCTGCCTCATCAGCCCTTTCTTCCATATCAAACGCCAATAAGAGGGTATCATATGTTCCCATTGTCGCGCCTTGGCCTTTGCTCAACATCCACTTAGCCAACTGAGTTTTTCACTAAACCAATCAACTCATGACACCATCCATAGCAAAATTTGCACTTGACATAATAAGTCATGTAACTTACTTGAATCACACGGTGCCATTGGCTTCTCTTCCTTAAGATTTGCAAAGCCTTAGCTGCAGCAATAATGGGGAATTCCACTTCCCAAGCTACCCATTTGTTCAAAGCTCCATAAACAGCCTCTTTTTCATTTGGGAGTCCAGAGAGCTACCAGTTGAGAGTTATAACCATCATTTGATTACTTTATTATCGTCTAATATTATTGATTCAAAAGACTCCGAAAAACATACGTTTAAACAGGGATTTTGTATTTTATCACTTACCATTCGGACAAGATTCAGAGCTTTTTGCCCGGACCCAGCAGAATCATTCTTCTTCCACAAGTGATGCTCTTTCTTCCCCACTTTCCTTATTTCCTTCCTACAATATCCACACAAAAGACTTACTAACGATTCAATCAAGACAAACAACGTTATCCATTACTCAAGAGAGATAGGTGAAATTACAAATATCAATTGCGTAATACAAACAACAAACCTCTCCACAATGGCTCCATAACTTCCGTTCACCTTCCCGGCTTGTGTCTCTGAGAACTTGAAAACAATTACACTATTAAGACATGATGTGTTTCATCTCAAGGAATCAAGTTTTAAAGCTAAAGAAAGCAATATAACTATATACGATACATTCAAGCATTACAAAACTAATAGCCATTAAAACAGAAAAACATTCACTACAAATACATTTTTACCTTTGCGCTGATGCAAAAACCAAACCTTTTCGCCTCCAAACAAGTATGAAAATCAAAGCATGCAAATTCCTGGGATTTCTGCAACTGGAGCTGAAACAACTAAACAAACAGGGTCTCAACTAAGTGTTGAGAGAGCTTAAATCAGTCCTGAAAACTGAAATGTTTGATTCGCTTTCTCAGGAGGAAATTATGTTTATCATTTTTTGGAGAAATCAACTGAACTCACAGATAATCTTTGTAACGAGAAACCCCCGAGATTTGGATAAATACAGAGCGCCATTACTGTTCTGATAGTTCCAGTAACAAAGTCTGGGTAGTGAACAACTACTGAAATTGAAATTTAATTTACATCACAAAACTGGAGTTGAAGATAAGAAAAACAAATGTTGTAATACTGTATCTGTTTGATGCAAGCGAACAGAGAAACGCATTTAGGGCTCATAGATCCCAATTTGAGTGAAGATGATGAGAAAAGAAGCGATTTAGGAATTTTTTGGTAAACCGATGAAAATTGGTATAACCAATACTAAATCGACCAATAACCGAAGCAATTTTTGGTTTAAGTTTTAACTCAGCCTGGTGCATATGTTAATGGGCCTTCAAGCAAAAGAGGGGCCTTCTTTGGATAATTTCAGCCCAAGATATACAAACGCGTTATTGATTGTTAAGCTGTAGCACTTGGTAACCGTATGGTATATATTACTTTTAAAAGGGTTTCCATGTATTATTACCTACGTGGCTACGTGTGTTTAGGTGAATAAAGTTAAGCAGATAATCAAAAATGAATTAGCACGACAGGGAAAAAATCTATTAACAAAGTTAACATCAATGTCGATGTAATTAAGAAGGTCCCATACAAATTGATATTGAACTAATCAAGAAAACGACCATCTTATCTATGTTTCCATTTCTTATCCAGTGAAATGTTTGTCTTAATATCATCTAAATTCACTTGAAATTAATCAAGTCAATGTTAGGAAAAATATATTATATGAAAAATATAGTATAATTAATGAATATTGTTACAAATTGTAGATACTCCATCTGTTTCAAATTAATATATGTTTTAAGTCTTCTACACATATTTTTTTTAAAAAAACTAAATTGATTTTGTATCATTTTTTATTAATAATTTTGTATAACTCTAAAGTCTAAACCAATAGTACTTCAATAAACTCAATTATCTTTTGAAATTTATAATTTATCATTTTTTTTTTCAAAACTGATAAAAATGCATCAAAGACTTAATTTAAAAGAATACAGTATGATAGTAAGATTATAGAAGTGTGTAATGATAATTTAACAATAGTAGAATTAGAAATTTTAATTACGATAATTTTTTTTGTTGAAAAAAATCATTACCATATTACATGCATACATCTAAAATAAGAATGTGATTTATCTTTTTGTCAAATAGTATTAAAATACATAGTTATTTTAAGTATGTAACAAGACCACAATGCAGGATACGTAAAATTAGCAAAATAATTATTTGAATTGGTTTGTATAATATAGAAGGTTTCAAAACAAGAGAGACGAAACAAGACACACTTAATTCGACAGAGTATCCAACATCGGAAATGATCGAAGGACCACTAGGAGTAGGCACCACACTTGTCTAAATATATCCGAAATTTTGGCCAAGTCATTGTCTTTGGCACGAGACTATGCATCTATCAATACCCCAATTCGTCCAATGTCCAATTCATTCGACTCTATCTGTCTACCTTTTTGTCCATTTTTCATTGTCTCTCTTCGATTGAATATGTCTTGTAGGATATGCACGAATTTTGATTTCACCGAATTGTTCCAACATTGAACTAGATCTTAATTAATGGTATGAGCAATGATGCATGCATTTACCGTGTTTGTTTTTGTGGTGAACACGTAAAACGGTAACACATCACTATGCTTACTAAAACTTGTTTTGCACAAGGCGTACATGTAAGACTTATTTCATCCGGATTTGAATGATGATTGTTTTTGTACTAGAAAAAAAAAAGCGTTATAATCATTCAAAAGTTTCGAAAACTATTACTTAAAGTTTGACAGTACTTAAAATACATTCTAAATCACCATTCAATGTTTTCGTTTTGTTTGCTTTACACTAAATGCATTTTTTTTAACACCTAAGATTATTTTATTTTATTTTAGTTTTATAGAATTTAAAAATTATAATCGAAATCAAACCAAACTAAAAGAAACAATTTCTTCAAATTTCGTTAATCCTACTGTATAATTTAAACTCAATCGAGGGTTCTACTGTGATGTCAAAAGAAAAAAACCCTACTAAGATAGGCTAAAGAATCAATCATTTTCAATAACCCTTTTTTTTTGTTATATGTACTCCTCAAGACATGTCTTGCTCGTTAATAATTGTCCCTCAATTAATAAAATCTTGCTTTTGCGACAACTTCACGGATAAAGTTGTTTGTCTAGAGATATAAATTAAAAAACATTAACGGCAAAAATTCAAATTTCATATCTCCTCAGAAATCAGAATCACTCAACCAAATAATATCCAAGGAAACATTAAAGATATAAATAGTTAGTTTCTATTTCAAGAATCTTCCGCGATATTTCACTATTGACTTTGTGATAGCAAGTTGTTAAATATTTTTTAACTAACTCAGTTTTTATTTCTTGTTATATGTTTCAAAGATCATATATCTTCATTCCGTAATATACTTAATTATTAGTTTGTATAGTATCATAAACATAGAATTAATTGTTTCCTTAAGCATCAACGTCAATATGCAATTTCTTTACAAAAAAATTAAGATCTTAAGGAAAAAGAAGACTTGTTAAGCCACATTGACATTTTCCCTTTTTCTTCTCCGAAAGCAACAAGCAACAAAATGGTAGGCCGTTAAATTAACGCCGCCACGTAATCGCGAAGGAGAACGACCACAGTTGTAGATAAAATGAACACGTGGCACCGGCACACGCGAGACGGAAGCCTGGTGACGTTAACTTTTGGCTGACGTTAAGATTGTTTTCGACACGTGCTAGCGCACGAGTGGATCGTCATGTTTTTAGATTCTGTGAGCTAACCGCGTAGCCACCAAACGCGCGGCTATTGCGTTCAGTAACGTATCATCGACTCGGCTTCGCGAATCGCAGTCATTGAAATTTCGTTGTAACTTGTAAAATGTAACAATTAAATAGTGTTAGAGATGATCCGTATTCGACCAAAAAAATAAAAGAGATGATCCGTATTCTTTCTTTTTTTTTTTTTAAACCCGATGTAAACCTAATCAAATAGTAATTTTTACAGTGCGCAAATTTCTAAACATCATTTATGAGGAACTTTGAATTAATATGAGTTATTCCAATATTTTTCCGGCAAAATGACGATGTATAAGGTAAATAAAGGCTGTGTTAGTAATCACATCCTTAATGATTGATTAGTTATTACATCGTATCCCTTGACTTCACTCAAACACCTTCACGATGACGTCATCTGATGCAACACAAGATATTACTCCTACTTACACGTATACACACAGTTATACGTATATGCATATATATTACGTGTAAAACATGAGATTCTCTTTGCGATGTTTCGGTCTATATAAATTCCATTGTTTTCTCATAGTTATGTCTTCTTTTCCTACCTCGCTTTTTCAATCAAATCATATATATCCAAAAAATTTCCCTCACTTTCTTGGCAAAACTATTTCCATATTTCAATGTCAGAAGAATTTCAAGAATCCGAGGTTATATTTTCCGATGAATATTACACGAACAACAACAACAAGAGTAGCAACAACGAGAACTACCAAAGAAAGCCGACGGCGACGGAGAAAATGTCATCTCCGGTGAGAATTCCGTCGAGAACAATTTTTCAGTGTACGGAAGAGGAGGAGGAGGAGGAGAAGAGAGAAATGACTCCGCCACATGTCATAATCGGAAAACGAAGAAGGGAGACGCAAATGGCGTTTTCCTTTTGTACCCTTAAAGGAAGAGACTTGAGACGTCACCGTAACTCCGTTCTTAGGATGACCGGTTTTTTGGAAGTTTAATATTGATCCCCAAAATAAATTGAGAACCGGTTCGGTTTAGTTTGCTATTTTTATTCGGTTTGTGTCGTCTTTACTTTGGGTGTGTATCATAAGCTTTGAAATGAACCAATGTGTTTATTTGCAACAAAAAAAAAGAACCAATGCATCTAGGATTTTTTATTTGATTTAATTTGGTGAAAGAAAAGTTTAATATTGGGTATATTTCCCCATATTTTATCAAGTAAGATGTTGGATTTCCGGTTAACTTAATAATTATTTTGTTTTGTATAAAATGATTGCTTGGTTTCTTGAGAAGAGGAAAAACCATAAGAATCAAATCTTATGTTTAAATTGAGTTATGGGTTTGTTGCTTGTGAAGTAATTGGTTTCTTGGCTTGTAGATTTTGTAGTTGGTCCACATTCATGGGATTCTGCAATTTGCTTGCTAACATGAGCCATAAAAGCTTTGTTTTGCTATTGTGAACTCAACCGAGGGTTATATACCTGGAAAGTACTTTAAGCCCATATAATTAATTAAATATTTTGTTTAAATATAACAAGTTGATTCCTTTGATCAAAAAAAAAAAAAAGAACAAGTTGATTCCTTAAAAATTAGTTGACTTTGGATAGGGTGTATGGTCCAAATATATACACATAAGTCTAATCAGCATGGATCTTATTTTATGTTTATGGAATGTTACACGTCGCGTTAAATTAGATGAAATTTGAAGTATTTGCTGACGATAAAAATTTCAGATTAATTAGACACTAGTCGATGACTCGAAGTCTATACCATATATGATTTGTATATTGAAGTCGAGCAGACTGTTCGGAACAGGGAAGGTTACGGTAATCGTTAAAATAGTTTTCTTTAATTAATTATAACTTTGTTTTGGTTAATCATTTTATAGAGACATACAAGATGGTTCACAGATAGTCATGTCAACTTTTTACCGAAATAGTCGCATTGCTGAGTTGTTTTTTTTTTCTTTACATGACCACGCTGATTTTGAATTTTTGTTTTTATATTTTGTAGAAAACATACCCAATTATATGTTTGAACAGTTCATTACAAACTTGTTACAATGAACGAGATAAAAACTTAAATCAACCGTATCTCAGTTGACCAGGCAAAAAAGATTAACCGTATTTGACAAAGTGACAAACCTCTTTAGTCTTTAGCTACGAGTTAAACCATTTTAGGAAAACCCAACTGTTTTTTCCCCTTTTCCAAAGTCTAGCTATGCTAATTTCATATTTATATTCGCTTCACACTGTCATTTGATATTATAAGAACAATATGTAATTACACATATTTATTTTCTTCAAAAGATTAACAAGATATATATATATATATATATATCCTTAAACTCAGCAAATATATGCCCATTTTATCAGAAAGCTAAAAAAACTGTTTAGGTTAACAATTTTATTTTTTATAAATATATATTTTTAATACGTGCATCTATAACCGATGTAAAAACATGATGGATAACATATAATCTATCATGATTATTAAAATTGAGAGGTAATAGTTACCTCGATTGATAACGAATACGGGAGTGTGGGATAAGATCTAAAGGATATAAACTCTATAATAAACCACTATATTTTACACATACTCGGAAATTAATTAAAGCGAAATATCCTAAACTTCCAATTAAACTAAGACAAAAAAAAAACTAATTAATTAATGCTATAGATCAGCCGTGACCACCGGCGTGGACCGATTCCGCCTCCGTCTTTTCCGAGCTTTATGACTACCACCAAACTTTAACCGTCCGGTATCCTTAAACCGGTCTCTCTCAGCTGTCACAATCACACATTCCGGCGGAGGCACGGCATATCGTACAGTGTCATAACAATAAGAATAATACATATAACGTTCCCGGAACCGTCGCATCGCGGCTCCTTGTTTAGGACTAATGGTCGAGTAATCATTGGTCGTTAGAAGTTGGTCGGAGACAGAACAATTTATGTTGATGTTGTTGTTGTCTCCGGTGACGGTGCGGATTGATGAGTCGGAGACATTACAACCATCGAGAGCAATGTCTTTGAATTCAGAGACGAAAGGTGAAAATGTGTAATCTACGGCGAACTTTCCGCCGGAAGTAGCCCAGCTTGAAGCGTCCCAAATGGTTGCATAGAGAGACATTGGTTTTTGTGGATAGTCTCCATTCATTTCTTCTTTTCTTATGATTTCTCTTATTGGTACATCGTCTACCCAAAATCTGCAATTTACAAAATTAAAACATTTTGTGATTTTATAATCAAGAGACTATTTTTTTTTTTTTTTTGTAACTAGATCAACATTTTATTCGATTCCACATTTTCTTGGCTAAAGCAAGTTTTATATATCCATGAGGTTTTTCAAATCTTAATGACCTCTTCAATTTAAACCAGGTTCGAAATAAATGCAAAGTGAGCATTATTACTAGGTTTTTACTCTCAAGCGTGTAAATGAGACCAATATGAAATCTGAGTTTGCCGTGTCCATTTTGCGTTTACTACATTGTTGTGGTAACATCCCAATTCAGGTCCAATTGGGAAAAGCCCATCAAGACCAGACCCGCTCTAACAATCCTAATTTGCCCCCATATTTAAGTGGAGAATTAAATGAAAAGGAGCCTCATTCTCATTCTTTTAACCCTAGTCACCAAAGCAAAAAGGAAGAGAGAGAGAGAGGAGCTCGCCGCCGCCGAGGAAGAGAAGGGAAGCCGCCGCCGCCGCCTGAGCTCGCCGCCGCCATCTGAGAGGAGAAGGAGTGGTCGTCAGCCTCCTCCTTCACAGAAACTCCTTGATTCCTTTGCTACCAGTTCTCCTTAAGTCAGATCTGCTTTTAGGCCAAGGTGAGGATTAGATCTAGGTTTTTTTTTATTCTTTTGTCTTCTTCTGGTGTGTGGAGTCTAGATCTGATGAGCCTAGGATGATTCCTTGTGCATCTAGCTAGATCCATGTGTGAGTCTAATGAAAAGATCTAGGATCTCATTAGAGGAAAAACCAGCATGTTTGATTGTTCACCCTGATGTGTGGTTAGTGATTGGTAGTGTAGCTAGATCAGGTGTTCATCTCGGTGATGGTGTGCCGAGGTATGGACTTGTTTGCTGGGCTATTGCTGTCTGTGTGACTATTGTGGTAGTTCAACGGTGAGCGGAAGGTACGCCGATCCTTCCGGAGCCTGTATGGCTGGAGGTGTGTCTGTGTGACTGCCTGGTAGTATGTCTGTGTGACATGGGAGATGATGTTCTAGTCTGTGTGACTAGGAGGTGTGGCCTTGTGTGATAGGCGGGTTGGAGACACCATTGCTTGCTAGTTGTATGTGCATCGCTAGGATGCCTGTGTGTGTTGCTTGTTGGATTTATTCTTGACATGTTGGTGGAAAATGAATGAGTGGGAAGGGAGCCTGGTTTGGTTCTCACTGAGTAATTTCCCCAAATTACTCACCCCTCTCTTTTAAATCCATATTGCAGGTGAGTGTGATGAATGTGAGTGTGTCGATGTCTGGGAGGAACTAGACGAGTAGCTCTAGTGTGGTGTGCCTTCAGAGATGGAGGAAGATTTTATTTGCTTTAAGATCTATTTTTCGTATTCTCTTTCAAGACATTGTTTTTCTGCTTAATTTCGGATTTATTCGAGTTATTTATTTTTATTGTAAGACTGAAATTGGTTTGATTTGGAATAAGAGTTAAGGACTATTCAGGAATTATTGGTTAGGTTAGATAATACTGCCGGTTTAGTCTGGTTTCCTTTGGAACCCAGAACCGGGGTGTTACAAGTGGTATCAGAGCCTAGGTTCGAATTAGGAATAGAGAGATGTCTAGTCTAGAGTAGTGGGATTGGGAATTAGATTTTTTTTTATAAAAAAAAAAAGTTTTCAAATATTTTCGAATTTAAAAAAAAATGAATTTTTCCGGATAAAAAAAAAAAAAATTCAAGTTCAAAGATTTTTTTAAAAATGTTTTCAAACAAAGAAAACCACCACCTAGATTAGTCTCTCTAGTTATTGTTGTTATTTTTAATTGCAGGAAAATCAGTCTTTACGGGACCAGACTGACTTATCTGTTCTCTCATGTTGTGCAATGTAGATGCCTCCGAAAGCCAAAAATGTGCGCACCAGATCCCAAGCTCGTCGTTCAGGTGGGGATGAGGAGACCACTGACACGACAGGAAGTGTGAACCGAGTTCCAATGAACCCGCAGGCTGGAAACCCTGAGGGAGATGTACCTGTTCAAGTGCCTGCAGCAGCAGCAGCGGAAGCAGCTCATGCCGCAGTCTTGGAGGAGCTGCAACGCTATCGGGAGATGTATGGCCACTTGAACCAGGGAGTGGGTGTGAATGCTCAGCAGCAGCCGCAGCATCAGCAGAATGCACCTCTGCCGCCAGTGCATAAACCGCCGCCTGTGGTTGTGACACTAGTGTTTGTTCAGCCTCAGAATGTGCCGTCGCCGGTGTTTTCTCAGCAGCAGTATGTGCCTCCACCTCCTGCGCCTGTCAATGTGTTTGGGCTGACATATTATCAGGCCATGAAGCACCTGAAGGATATGGGGATGGAAGCTTTTGGTGGGAGATCTGACCCAGTGTCTGCAGATAACTGGAGGAAGAGGTTGGAAAGGAATTTTGATGTCATGAGATGTCCGGATGGATACCGGAAGGACTTAGCCGTGCAGTATCTGAAGGAAGAGGTGCTGATATGGTGGGATGGTGTGGTGGAAGCAGCTCAGGGTCGGTATGAGTTGACTTACAATGATTTCCAGGAAGCATTTGCTAAGGAATATTTTCCACCCGAAGCCTTGGATCAGATGGAGAGTGCCTTTGAAGACCTGCGTCAGGAGAACCGTACTGTGAGGGAGTACAAGGAGGAGTTCAACAGGTTAAGGAGGTTCTCCAGGAAGCACTTCACTCCGGCAGACTTGGTCCGTCAATTCATGAAGGGCTTGAAGTTGGAATTGAGGAGCAGATGTTCTGTCAGGAGGTACCCCACATTAGTGGAGCTTGTGGAGACAGCTGCCATTCAGGAAACCAATTTGGATGAGCTGAGGAGGACCAGGCAGGGCCAAGTCCGAGCACCCCGTGCCTTGGAAGCACCAAAGAGGACCTGGGATGATATGGCAGCAGGGAGAGCCAATGGGAATGCTCTGGAGTGCCAGCGTTGTGGGAAGAGACACACCGGGTCGTGTGGATTAATTAAGTGCTATGGATGTGGAGGAGTGGGTCACCAAGGCAGGGATTGCCCAAGTGCTGCAAGGATTGGAAAGTGTTATCGCTGCGGGAGATCAGGTCATTACAAGAAGGATTGCAGGATGCCACCGCTTGTCCAGCAGGAAGGAGGAGCAGCGCCAGGAGCACCACCAGCTAAGAGGCAGGCTGTTGGACCTCGTGTCTTCGCCATTGGAGATCCTGAGGGAGGCTCACCGATCGCTGGTAAGTAAATGTTTGAGTGATTCTATATGTTGCTTGTGAATAGGAATGTAGAATGGAAATGCATAACTAGACATAAGTATGAATCATGTTTGATCGGTCTCAGTAGGGGGCACGATTGCATATACCTTGTTCGACACCGGTGCCACTCATAGCTTCGTGAGCCCGAGGTTGACCAAGTGTTGGACTTTTTCTGGGAAGTTCATTCCTAGGTCTAAGGCAGTGGAAACTGCTGGGAATGAGCAAGTAAGGACCATTGGGGTACATGAAGGTGTACCAATTCTATTGGAAGGTGCAGGATTTCCATGGAATCTAGTGGAAATGGAGTTGAACCTCTATGATGTTATCCTGGGGATGGATTGGCTGAAGCACTATGGAGTCGTCTTGAATTGTCGGAGGTCGAGAGCTTACATCCCACAGCAAGGAGAGGAGTTGATTTTCCAAGGAATGAAAACTGATGTAGGAGTGCCAATCATCTCAATGATTCACGCAGAGAATCTTATGGAGGGAGGATGTGAAGCATTCCTAGCGACAATCTCTATGGCTGAAGAGGGAGCAGACAAAGATCTTGAGGAGATACCAGTGGCAAATGAGTATGCAGATGTATTTGAGCCATTAACTGGACCACCACCAAGGAGGGAAGTGGACTTCACTATTGAAGTAGAACCAGGGACGGCCCCTGTTTCGAAGGTCCCATATCGATTGGCACCAGCAGAGATGGCTGAGCTAAAGAAGCAGTTAAAGGACTTGACGGATAAAGGATTTATTCGGCCAAGTAGCTCGCCATGGGGAGCACCAGTGTTGTTTGTAAAGAAGAAAGATGGGAGCTTTCGACTTTGCATCGACTATAGAGGATTGAATAAGGTGACCATCAAGAACAAGTATCCCTTGCCGAGAATTGATGAGCTATTGGACCAGTTAGAAGTAGCTTCATGGTTCTCCAAGATTGATTTAGCATCTGGCTACCATAAGATTCAGATAGCAGAAGAAGATATCCACAAGACAGCATTCTGAACTCGCTATGGGCATTATGATTTTGTGGTGATGCCGTTCGGATTGACGAATGCGCCTGCAGCTTTCATGAAGTTGATGAATGATGTTTTTCGGGAGCACTTGGATAAGTGTGCGATTGTTTTCATTGATGACATTTTGGTCTACTCAAGGAGTGAGAGGGATCATGAATGGCATTTAGGAATGATTCTTCAGAAGTTAAGGGATCAGCAGCTTTTTGCGAAGCTAAGCAAGTGCAGCTTCTGGCAAAGGAAGATAGGATTCCTTGGGCATGTTGTTTCAGAAGCAGGAGTGGCAGTAGATCCTGAGAAGATCACTGCAGTGACAGAATGGCCTGTGCCTAAGAGTGTTGCTGAGGTCCGCAGCTTTTTGGGTCTGGCAGGTTATTATCGCAAGTTTGTGCCGAATTTCTCTAGAATTTCGAAGCCGCTCACCAGTCTAATTGGGAAGAATGTGAAGTTTGAGTGGACAGAGAAGAGATCCCAAAGTTTTGAGGAACTGAAGAAGAGCCTCACAGAAACTCCAGTGTTGGTACTCCCGAGGACAGAAATACCTTATAATGTATACACTGATGCCTCTGGATCCGGATTAGGATGTGTGCTTATGCAGGAAGGGAAGGTCATAGCATATGCATCCAGGCAACTTCGGAAGCATGAAGTGAACTATCCAAATCATGACTTAGAGCTAGCCGCTGTAGTTTTTGCTCTTAAGATATGGCGTGCCTACTTATACGGAGAAAAAGTGCACATATTCACAGATCACAAAAGTTTGAAGCATGTGTTCACCCAGAGTGATCTGAATTTGAGGCAGAAGAGATGGATAGAGTTGTTGGCAGACTATGATCTAGAGATTTCATATCATCCGGGAAAAGCTAATCACGTAGCTGATGCCTTGAGTAGAAGGATGAGTGATGTTTCTGAGATCAAAGAAACACAGGAACTGATAGCAACGATGGCGAGGTTGAGTTTGTGTGTTGCTGAAGTGGAGGATGACGCCGCTGGATTAGAAGCATTGGACAATGCTGACTTGTTGTGGAAAATCCGGCAAGAACAGGGAAAAGATTTGGCTTTGAAGGAAATGTTTGACAAGCAAGTGGTTGGGTACCACCAGACAGATAATGGAACCTACATGTACAAGAATCGGGTTTGCGTTCCAAAGGATGATGAGCTAAGGAATGAGGTGTTGAGCCAAGCTCATCAGTCCAAATTTTCTATTCACCCTGGGAACACCAAGATGTATCGGGACCTGAAACGCTATTACCATTGGGCAGGTATGAAGCGTGACATTGCTGCTTGGATTTCTCAGTGTGCTACATGTCAGCAAGTGAAAGCAGAGCAGATGACGCCAAGTGGACTACTCCAAAACTTGCCATTACCAGAATGGAAATGGGACATGGTGACAATGGATTTTGTGACAGGGCTGCCAAGGACACTAAGTAAGAAGAATGCGATTTGGGTAATCGTAGACCGCCTTACTAAATCAGCTTACTTTGTGCCAATCAGAAAGACAGATGGGGCCGAGCAGTTGGCGCAAAAGTATATTGATGTGATTGTGAGGTTGCATGGAGTTCCAGTGAGCATTGTGTCCGATCGAGATCCGAAGTTCACAGCTAGTTTTTGGCAAGCATTTCAGAAGGCATTGGGAACAAAGGTTCATTTGAGCACAGCCTATCATCCTCAAACGGACGGCCAATCGGAAAGGACGATTAGGACCTTGGAGGACCTGCTAAGGGCTTGTGTCCTGGATTGGGAAGGAAGCTGGGAAAAGCATCTTCCTTTAGCAGAGTTTGCTTACAACAACAGTTATCATGCCAGTATTGGAATGGCTCCGTACGAAGCTCTTTATGGGAGACCTTGTCGTACACCTCTCTCTTGGACAGAAGTAGAAGAGATGAGAGAGTTAGAACCAGAATTGCTGAGGGAAGCATCTGAGCAAGTGGAAATGCTTAAGATCAGGCTGAAGGAAGCCCATGATCGACAGAAAAGTTATGCTGATCAGCGAAGGCAGGAATTATCTTTTGAGGTTGGTGATATGGTCTATTTGAAGTTGAGAACCTTTAGAGGGAATGATGAGCATAGGAAATTGAAGAAGCTTAAGCCAAGGTACATGGAACCGTACCCTATTGTCGAAAGAGTTGGAGAAGTGGCTTACCGCTTAGAGCTGCCCAAGGAGTTAGCTGAGTTCCATGATGTGTTTCATATTTCACTTCTGAGGAAAGTTGTGAGGGAGCCAGAGCTCATTTTGCCTCAGCCGCCATTAGATGTGAGGAAGAATTTCTCAGCAGCATATCAGCCAGTGGCAGTGTTGGAATTTCAGGAAATGGAGGTCAATGGTAAGAGGAAGCCGTCGGTTAAGTTGTGGAGAGATGGCATCCACGAGAACCTGGGAGTTGGAATAGGAAATG